CCTGCCTGTCGGCTGGGTCGGGAATCGCCGCTTTATTCGTCCGTGTAACCCACCCGTGTGTACCGGAGCTGCGGCCCCGCCCGGCGGAGCGGGGGTGAAGCGGGGCTGGGAGGGAATAGCTCTCCCCTGGGAGCCGGGGCTGATGTGTGATCGCCGGTTCCACAGGAGGACACTGTGCCCATGCCGGTGGCAGGGGAGGATGCTGAGCTCGCTGAGTGCCTGCTGGGGGAGGCAGCAGCGCTCTCTCTCAGCAGCCCTCATGTCCCAGACGTGCACAGGGTGGGAAGGTGATGCTGATGCTGATGCGAGGTTTTGGACCTTGGATCAGACACCAAAGCCCCTTGGCCTCCTGCGCCCCGCTTTGGGCAGCCCTCGGGCTAGGTCAGGCACTTATCATCCCCTCCCTGGTGGTGTCCCTGATGCTCTTCAGGAAGCTGAAGATGTGGGACCCGCCGGTTCCTTTAGCCTCCAGGGCAGACGGGGGCTTCCCCACCGCGGGGCCGGCGCTGGCACTCGGCTGTGCCCGCCTGGCCCTGGCTTTGGCCGCCGCGGTGGAGATGTACTTGGTGACGATGCTGATGTGGTAGGACCTGAAGTCTGTCAGCGCAGACACGCAGCGATTGAAGGCGGCTCGGAGCCGAGCATCCCCCGAGGACAGCACATGCTGCTTCAGGGACACGGCACCCCGGACCTCCTCCACAAACGCTCTGTGGGGCGGGGGCATGTAGTCTCTCATCCTGTGCAGGAAGGCAGCTGCAAGACAGCAGCAAAGGAAGGAATGAGTTGTGGGTAAGTGGATTAAAGGCCCTGAACCTCTAGGAGAGAAGCTGGCCTGGAGCTGTGGTGCTGGCACAGTTTGCAGGGACCCCTGACAGCCTGCACAGCCTCCTCTGCTCTGCCTCCAAACTGAGAAACAAAACCCATATTAGGTCAGTGCTCTGTTGAGGCTGGTGCTAACCCTAAAAGGCAGAGTTTAGCCCTGCTCCCAGCCTGTTGGTTTGGAGTTTTTTTTGTTAGTAAAGTGTTTTTGCTAATTTCTGGTAAATATTTCTGTTGTTGGATGGACTAACGTGGAGCTTTATGAATGGCCTCTTACTGGCAGGATGCCTGCATGCTCTGCTCCCTCATCTCTGGGCCCATAGAGAACCTCAGCAAAAAGCTGACATGCAAGAAGCCAAATGTGTGCTTTTGTGAATTTATGGTGGTGAGGAAGCACCTGCCGAAGCCACATTTATAACCTTCCTCCCTGGTCCCAGCCAGGGTCTGCAACGGGCACATGTCCTGCCTGACAGAGCTGGCACAGTCACGGGAAGCGCTCTGGCTCATCTCTTCCCCTGCCCCTCACTTGCTCTGGAAAAGGAGAAGCTCATGGCTCACCACTGTCCTGGCGGTGGCAGATCCCCAGGAGCTCATCGAAGGCGTGCAGGACCGAGCTCTGCGCCGCGCTGCCCCCCGAGTACGCCAAGGGCTCCGGGGACACCCCCTCGTAGATGAGCCCGTGCGGCATGGCAGGGTTGTCCTTCCAGCTGAGCAGGAGACACGGCAGTCAGGCAGGCAGCAGCCATGGGGCTGGGGACAGGGGCCTGTGAGAAGGGACCTTGGGCTGGCAAGACTGAGCAAAACTTTCCTGGCTCAGCCCATGGAGCTCATCCTCCAACTCAGCCATGTCAGCCCTCCTCACACAGGAGATAAACTTGGAAATCAAACACTGTGCCAAAACACACAGTGAGGCCATGGGTGTGAGGAGACATCCTTAATTTTCCTCTGCCAGAACGTTCTCTGGGGTCGCCATGCCCTGCTGAGCACCCTGTGGCAGGGTGCTGACTCACATTGCCCTGCCTGGCTGCACCTCCTGCTCCACTTTGGGAAGGTTTTTGCAAGCAGAGCTGCCTTAGGTGTGTGAGAGAGGAGGGGGCACTTGTCTGGGCAATAGTGGCACTTTACATCAATTCCCTGAATGGCAGCAGCCATTCAGAGAAGCAGGTAGTCACCCAAACACTCCTCTGAGCCCCCAGAGTTTGGATTTTCCTTTGTTCGGTTGAGAGCCAGCACTGCTGGTGCCTCCCACACACACCCTGCACTCAGATCCTGTCGGCCCCCCTTGTGCCGAAATGGAGAAGTTACACCCAAATGGAGATCTGTTATGATTTCAGGGAGGTAAAGTGCCTGGCACAAATATGCATCTGTTGACCTTAGCAGAATGCACCATTCCATGAGGCTTTAGGTACTGGCTGCAGTGTCTGTTGGGCTACAGGAATAGATTTTACACAAACTGCAGAGAAAATAGATTCATTATCAAATACCAGAGTATTTTTAGTTCTCCCAGGATTGTATTTATAGTAACCTCTACTAGTGGGAAGTTCTTATAAGCAGAAGGGAATTTAAAAGGCATGTTTTCCTAAGCTGATGACCATCGAGACAAGGTCAGTTTGCATAAAGAATGAGAGAAGCTTAAACACGGTGCATGGAGCTTTTTACTTGGGAATGCTGAGATGTGATGGAGAGAAATAAAAATAGAACCCCCCTGAGAAGCCCCAGACCTAGAGTCTGCAGATGCTGCAGCCCCACAGGGATGCTGAGGGATGGTGAATGAGCTGTGCTGGGCTCTTGGGGCCGTGGTTCTGCCTTGCCCAAACAGTGTTTTCAGTATTTGGGGGGGATTTTCTTTTTTTCAACTGACAGAATTGTAACACAGCAGCAGCAGGAGGATTGTTATGGATGTTTTCCCACACAGTGAGAAGAGCCTCTGCTCAGCTTTGGAGCTTTGCGTACACAGTGTGGAAGTAAACAGAAATTCCTCCTCTCCTGTCAAAACTATTGGGCCAAGAGCAGGAAAGATTAATTTGTGCACAATTCTGGCTGTCAGGGCTGTCAGGGCTGTCAGGGCTGAGCTGCAGCATTGGATGCAGACAAGCTGGAGGGAGGCAGACCCCAGCCCTTGGGCACAGTCCCTCCCCAACTGATCCAGTGCCTAGGAATTCCTGAGGGACAGGATCATGATGCTCTACTGCCAGACACAAGCTGGACCCTACCCTGCCCTGGGGAACTCCATATCCCATCTGTGCTGCCCCTTCCCTGCACATTCCCAGCTCCCCCCAGCCCTGGGAGCTAGCACAGTGGCTCTGAAGGGAAACAGGCTGCACTTACCCAGAGAGGAAGATCCGGATCTCAGAGTAGAACACTTCTGGATCCACATGGTCTAGGAGGAAGTCAGTCAGATTAGAGGTGATGGGCAGTTGCACCAATGCATGTGATGAGCTGCAGCATGCACAGGCACCAGCTGCTCTCACCATGCATCTGCCTCAGCGCCTCTCTCATGGCCTTGATGGCCCCTGCCAGCTCCTCCAGAGCTCTGTGCAGGGTCTCCTCATCACACTGCAGGATGGCACCAAGGGCCCGGCTGATTGCCTGCGAGGGGAGGAGGGACAGCACCAGGTCACAAAGGGGTGGGATGGGTAGGATGTCTGTGTGCAGTGGTTGTGGACATTTGGTGCCACCCATGCCAGCTCTGCCCCTTCCCCAGCCCAGGTTCAGGGGATAGGAACACCTTGTGGGTGCACCCCAGGCACTTTACAGTGCAGGTAAGCAGAGAGCCCCAACACACAGCAGTACCCACCTTAATGCCAGGCACAGCTGCCTTCTCAACAAGCAGGGTGACAAGGATGAAGCCCTGCAGGCTCTCTCCGCCAGGCAGGGTGATGATCGTGTCCAGGTTCCTGCACAAAGGGGCCAAGGAGAAGGATTGGAGGGTGGCAGCTCGGGATTTCCCTACCCACTGTGGAAAACCATCCCAGACTCCAGAGCCTCTTCTCTGCACCCTGTGCAGAGAGGAGCTGGCACAGAGTGAAAGGGGAGCAGGACTGCTCTGGTTTAGGGGGCCCTGCCATCCTCCCCATGGCCCCCCCATGGCCTGTGGCCACTGGCTGTGTGCAGCCAGAGAAGCCAGTGGCTCTGCCCAGTCCCTTTGCTATCGTGGCAGTGGCACCTGTGTGACAAACACTGCTCATGTGTGCACACATCAAGAGAGGTTGATCCCAAGCAGTGCTGGAGCGCTGAGCCAATCCAAACAAAACCAACACCGTTAGAAAATAAATGAGCATTAACTACTTACTCAATTTCCAGAGGCCTGAAGACATTTCAGTTATGGCAAACAAATGCACAAGGAAATGAAAGAGGGAAAGAGAGAGAGATTATAAATTGTTCTAGTGATGGTCTGTGCTCTGCAGGGAACAGAGGAGCTGCCCCAGGGGCTGCTCCCAGAGACACCCATGTCCCCACAGAGTTCCTGCGTCCACACCCATGAGGCCGACCCCAGGAAAGGTGGGATTCAAGGGGTTTTTGGCAGAACAGGAGCAGTCTGGGGACAGCCTGTCCCCAACACCAGCATCACTGCTGCCCAGCCACAGGAAGAACCGTGCTTTGTCCGCTGGCATTTGCCCATTTACCCGTTGGGGTCCTTCCTCCTCCAGTTGGCCAACACAAAGTCTGCGTGGCTGAGGATGGGCGGGAGCCCCAGGGCCTGTGACACCTCCCAGTAGGGGACGGCGAGATTTCGGGGCAGGACCTGAGTGGCACAAAGCACAGGGGGTGTTGTCAGGCTGCAGGAAGGTGCCAGGCAGGAGCAGGCACTCTCCTGCTGCAGCCACAGGAAAGGGACTTTGCTCCCTTGGGATAAGTTCTAAGGGAGCAGCATCAGCTCCCAGACCCCAAGGAGCAGGTGAACCTGCTTTACCTTGCCTTTACCTGCACGGTGCCCTCCTCTCCCTCCTGCCAGACGTAGCCCATGGTGATGAAGCTGAGCACCAGGTGTGCCAAGTGCAGCTCCTCACGTCCTCGGAGGTGCTGGGAGCTCAGCTGCGGCATCTGCCAGGGAAACCCTTGGGAGCAAGGAGCAGAGCCAGCCAGTGCCAAGGCCCCTGTCTCGGATGGGCTGCCCTGCCAGCCGGGGGGAACCCTCCTAGTGCTTCTCCCCTGCCTTTAAGCCTCCTTCCCACCCGCTCTGCAGGATGTGCTCCCTCTGCACCATTCCTGGTTTGTGCGGAGGGACAGTAATCCACAGGATTTTCCTCAAAAAGGAGTCCCTCCTCCTGGTTTCTGGGATGCCCATGGGAGCAGCTGATCCCTGCATGCTGAAAGGATCAAGCCTGACTGGAAGCTGATGGAGCACCAGTGCTCCTTTGGCAGGGAGGGTGGCTGGGATGTGACATGGTTCTTGTGACACCTAGAGGGGTCCTGCTCCAGCCCTTGCTGGCTGCTGAGCACTTGGATCTGCTGAGGGAGTTATTTCTGTGCCAATGTTAAGACTTTGCTGTCACCTGGTGTCAGTCCTGGCTCAGCACACATTTGTGCTGCTGGGTTGTTTTTGCACATTTTCCAGACACTGCAGTGTCAGTCCAAGGTTTGAGAGAGCTCTGGAGGCAGGAAGGAGAACACCGTACCTGGCGAACGCGTGAGCGGAGCTGATGGCTGGCGATCAGCTGGGGCAGCTCACGGGCGATGTCCATCCAGGGCCCGTAGGGTGCTGGCAGCTCTGTCTTGGTGGGGAGAGGCAGAGAGAGGGCTGTGAATGTGCCCAGGCTCCCAGCACCCACCCAGCCTCACACGCTGCTGCTGAGGGCTTGTGTCTGCTCCCCCCTCCTGTAAGATGAGCCTGTGTGGTCACAAATTAATGGATGGTGAACACAATCTGTCTGTCCCCACCCAGTCCCACTGTGGATCCAGGCCTGTAATAAATAGCCCCACTTTGGACACAGACTTGCCCTTCTTGCACTCCCCAAAATCCTCTAGCGCCAAGGCCGGTGTGTAAATGGCAGAGCTCCTTCACCTCTCCTCTGTGCTGCTTGCTGCAGCCACTTCCATCATTTTAAAGGGTAGGGGTTTGTCCTATGAAACTGCCAAAACAGCACCTGCCTTCCTCATTGTTCTTTGTCAAGTGTTACAGCAAAATGCTAAACCAAAGCTCCCCCAGAAAGCTGCTCACCAACCCCTCTATTTTCCTGTGGCGTGTGGCCGGGGAGGCACAGCCAGCTCCTACCAGAGGGTCGGGAAGCAGGAAGCCAAACTCCTCGGAGACCTGAAACCTGCTCAGTGCCAGAGGCAGCGGGGGCTCCTTGGTGTCACCGCTGGCCTGCATTGCTGGACACTGGCTGTGCTCTGGCCTGGCCACCCCGCTGGCAGCATGTGCTGAGCCAGCAGCAGTACCTTGTCCTGGGGGTCGGGCCTGGCTACCCAATGGCCGGAGGGTCTGAGCAAACACGGCTAAAGGTTGCTGATAAGGCTTTGTTGTGGAGCAAACTTAAACTCTGTCCCCCGTGGGCATCCACCCATGGGAAAGCCTTGGTTGGACCCCAGGGGCTCTGAGCTGACTCGTCCCAGGGCAGCCCTGAGGGGCTGTCACGCTCCCCTGGGATGGTCCCTGCATCCTGATCTCCTGATCTCCACCACCCTGGCAATGCCAAACCTGTGTGCAGTGGGCTGCTGACCTGACTGTCAGGCAGGAGCCAACCTTCCAGCTCGGGGGTGCTCGATGCTGGCAAGCTCATGCTGGTACCTGGCCAGAGATGCACAAAACACAGTGGATGCTGCTGCTTTCCCCATGGTGCTGGGGTCACTGGGGCTGCCGCTGGGGTCCCAGCACCAGAGCAGGGGTCAGCAGGGTGCTCTGAGAAGGGCCTTCCCAAACAGCAGGGAAAGGCAGCCCTGAGAGGGCTGGGGCTGGAGGCACTGTGAGTGCATGGGAGGGGAAGGGCCAGGGGTACAAACAGCAGGACTGACATCTCTGTGGGTGCAGGTCCATAGGCACTGCAGGAAATGTGCACTTCACGTGCAAAACAGAGGTGACACCGGCACCACGGCCACCACACGGGGCAGTGGCCTTCCCTGGTCCCCAGCTCTGAGAAGGGGGCCAGGAGCCACACACATACACTGGTCCGCTTCAGAGGCAGCCACAGCACCCGAGCTGTCCCTGCCGAATAGTCCCCAGCATCAGGCAGCTTCACAGCCCTCACAGATGGGCAAATCCCATGTGCCCACAGAGAAAAGGGGACAATCTCAGCAGCTGTGGCCCCTAGGCCCCAAGAGCAGGATTAACTCTGACAAAAAACACAAATAATAGAAGCATAAAACCACAGGGCCATGACACCAGCTTTGCCAACAGCTTTAATTAGCGCCCGTGGTGCTGCCCCAGCGCTGGCTCTGCTGCTGGGTCCGTGCCTGTCTTCATCTCTAGGTCTGGCTCTCGCTCTAGGTCGGTCTGCAGCTCCAGGGCCAGCTCTGGGTCCGGCTCCAGGTTTATCTCCAGGTCCGGCTCCAGCTCCCTGTTCGTGTCCTGGATGGTGCTGTGGGGGGACCTGCAGTGGTGCCTTGGCCCTGACTTGACTCAGTGCCTCAGCCTGAGGTCACCGTGTCCCCATGGGAATCACCTTGCCTCCCTTCCCTCCCCTCTGCAGGGATCCCCTCAGCCCTCTCCCACCCCCTGCATACGCCAGGGACCCCGGGGTCTGCACTCACCGCTCCACGGCCGGCGGCTGCTCCCTGTGGCACAGGCCCGGCGCCCACTGCCGCCACAGGCCGAGCCCCAGGGCCGCGGTGAGCACGAGCAGGACGAGGCTGGAGCCCAGCACCAGCCAGGCCATCTCCCCATCCTCCAGTACTCGGTGTGGGCCTGGCAGGACACAGCCCAGCTGGGCACGGGGTGCTGCCAGCCCTGCCCGTGCCGTGCCTGGGGCTGCCCACACTCACCTGTCAGCTGCAGGCCGCTGTCCTTGCTGCCCCCGCGGCGTGAGCCCCTCCTGTGGCAGTCGGGGGGCTGCCAGCCCGGGTAGCAGTGGCAATTGCCCTTGTTGTTGCACACCTGCAAGGCCCAGGGGAGGGTACAGGGGTGTGCAGCGAGCCCTGCACCCCGTGCTGCCTGTCCCCAGCCCCGTGGCACTCACGCCGTGGCCGTGGCAGTTTGTTTTGCTGTCACAGTTGTTTTTCAGCTCCGAGAGCGGGTGACATGTGTTGTTTATACACACCTGGGAAAAACCATGGCAGCTCCAGCCCAGCACTGCCTCACCCAAACAGCACTCAGTGCATCGGGCTATGGCCCAAAGGAAAACACACTACTTAAAAAACAATAAATAAAAAAGACAAAGGAGCCACAGTTCTGCCCTGGGGCCAGGTCATGTTTAGTGCTCACACCCCACCAAACCTTTAATGCAATGTTTGCAAGTTTTTACAGTGCTTTTAAATATCAAGCACACTGCTGCAAGGAAAAAGTGTTTCTATCATCTTGTTAATATTTACAGTTTCTATTTGTCATTTCAGATGATTACGAAATATTTCCTTACCCTTCCAGAGCCACACTTTGTCCCTGGGGGAACCAGAAGTGGATCCAGCCACGCTGGTATGTTCAGGTAGTTCAGAGACACACACAGATGGTGCCGCACTTGGGCGTAAATGACGGCGGCAGCAGTCGATGAGAAGGGCTTGTGGGACGGGTACGTGCAGACTAACTTCCCACATCTGAGATCCCTGGAAAGCCAATTTGCACAGGATGTGTATCAAACACACACAGACACACAGATCCTGCCTGATGAACACCAGAACATTAAACACCACAATCTGGTGAGGAAACATCAGCAGGACGGGGAAGGCCAAGGGAGGATCTGTGACATAAGGAGAGACACCGTATCAAGGAGAACACACAGAGAGGTGTTTATTGCTTCACAAATCTCACCATAAACTGGAGTCCTGACACTTCTCTTGACTGGCCAATCCCAATTAAACATGCATTTTACATCCCCAGCATACCTCCAAGTACAGGGCCGGTACTTGTTTTTGCTCTTGAACCCGCAGTGCCCAAACCTGTCCTTCTGCCCGTTAATCTCCTCGTAACAGATGATGGGAGCGTTCCTTGATTCTACAAGTTTAGCAATAAGATTTGTTACAGCTAAAATGAACACGAAGGAATATATTATGGTATCTAACAACTGAATTTTTCACAATTTAATTAGAGAAAACATACCTATCCCTGCCCAAACCCCCAGCAGTCCTGAACCTCAGAAATCAGCAGGGGAGTAGAAAATGTGGAAGTTCTCTGAGTTTGCCCACAGAAAATAATTTGCTTTTTGTTCTTTCCATTGTTATCTGTGAAGCACTGGGGGACTGTATCAACTAGAGCCAAAAGAGAACTTGAAATGCTTTCCTAAAGCTGTGCCTTCTCTCCAGGTGCCCTACTCTCACCAAGGCTGGTGCATTGAAGAGTACAGGTACAAACTGAGCAGCGTGCTGTTGTCCCTGTCCCTGTCCCTGAGCACGGCAGTGCCACCACAGCCTGGTACCTTTCCCGTAGAGCCGCTTGCACTGCAGGTCTGAGGAGTGGCAGCGTCCCTGGTAGCAGTAGCCAGAGCCATGGCCGCAGTCGTGCCCATCCTGAATGAACACGTCGGGGGGACAGGAGGCGGAGGAGCCGCTACAGAACTCGGGCAGGTCGCACTGGGCATCGGCGGCCGGGCGGCACACCGCGTTCCTCCGCCTGAACTGGAGGAGGAGGAGGAGGAGGAGGAAGAGCTCTGCAGCCTCCCTCGCCTGCCTGCCCGCACAGCCCCTTCTTTCCATGGCCCCAGGGTCTCTCTTGAGGCGCTGGGGTGGCCGCACATGTGTGACACCGCCGGTGACAAGAGTCCCGGTAATGCTCCCCCAGGGCTTCCCACGAGCTGAGCTGGGAAACCCAACCCCAGGAACCTTTCCCATTGCACAGCAAGAACTTTGGCTCTATCCCTCAGCATGGGAACATAATTCCAAATATGGAACATATTTGTCCAAAATAAATTATGATTTTGTGATAATTATAAAAATGCGTCTTACCTGACAACCCCTACAACACAACCCGGAGGCACATCTTGCTCTTGGCTTCAGTCTACACGTTTGAGTGCAGCACCTGCTCTTCAGGCATTCCTGGGGACACACGGCAAACTCCTTTTATTTTGTTGTACCCCCGAGCCTCTCCTCCTGCTCCTCTCCCGTTTTACTTGTGCAATATCCACAGAACAAATGGGCAAGGCTGCCGCCAGCTGGCTGCCACCCAGGAACCATCCCAAAGCCATCCCTCCCTGGGCTGCTCCCGCTGCTCTGCGGCTCCCGGGGGTTCTGCACCTCCTCCCCAGCCGCCCGCAGCCCGGGGACGGGGTTCGGCCCCGCTTCGGGGTTCGGTCACAGTGCGGGGTTTGGTCCCGGTTTGGGGTGTGGTCCCGGTTCGGGGTTCGGTCACAGTGCGGGGTTTGGTCCCGGTTCGGGGTGTGGTCCCGGTGCGGGGTTCGGTCCCACCTGTGCCGTGCCGCAGTCACACTGCTCGCCCGGATCCACCACACCGTTGCCGCACAGGGCTCCGCTCCGGCGGGACAGCCGGGGGCTGCCGAAGAGGCAGGCGCCTTTGCCCCGCTTCAGGAAGCTCTCAAAGCCCCTGATGCTGCAGTTGCTGAAGGCTTTTGCCCCACTGAAATGTCTAAAATACAGCGGTTATCAGCTTGTGTGTTACACACTCACCCTCCCTCTCTCCCCAAACCTCTGTGCACGTCAAGGGCTCACCCAGACACTGGCACAGGGTAGGATGGTCCCAGGGGTCTATTAATTCACCTGATCTACAGCTCATTATTAACAGAGATTGAAAAACAATTCTGAAGGACCTTAATTTTAGAGAGCAAAAATCTCTTTTGTCAAATTGGGCCCTAATTTGCTATTTAATTAATTAATTTTTTACTTTTTAGAGGCATAAAAGCAGGTATTTCTCCACTGAAACAGTGATCAGGCGCTGGAGTTGCTGCCCAGGGAGGCGGTGGAGCCCCATCCCCAGAGGCGTTCAAGGAAGGGCTGACACAGTGCTCAGTGCTCCGCTCCACTTGCCAAGGTGGCTCAAAGGCTGGACTCAGTGGTCTTGGAGGCCTTTTCCGACCTGAGTGATGCCATGAGCCTGTGATTCTAATTTGCTGTACTTTTTGCAATGGAATGACAGTTGCAGAGGCCTCCTCTGACAAGGGACACCTTGCAGCCACCCCTGTCCCCCCCAGCCCCTGCAGCCCCACAAACTCACAGCGCCTCTGGGCTCATGGTGCAGACGCGCCCGGGGCAGCCGCAGCCTCGGGAGCTGTCCGGGCCCATGCCCAGGCTGCGGCCCAGCCCCTGAGCCAGCAGGATGGAGAAGGACTCCAGCGTCACGTTCCCGTGGTACTGCAGGGAGGAGAGAGATCAGCTGCCAGAGCTGAGCGTTCCTTGCAGAGATCCCTGCTCCAGATCCTCCCACCTGCTCCCATCCAGCCCCGATCCTGCTGCCCACAGCTGGGTTCACAGCTCAGGGATGGGCAGAGGACAAGTGGGACTATACCAGGGCCACTGTGGCAGCAGCATCTCTCTCACATGCCCCTCCTGGAGCCGCTGCAGCCGTGAATGCTCCTTGGTCCCTGTACCTGGAACAGAGGTGTGGTCACTGCTGGTGCCACAGACGCTCTCTCGGCTGGGTCTGTATAGCCCAAGTCCCCTTGGTGCCCCCGACTGCTCTGCTGTCCCCAGGGGAGCTGGGGCAGGGTCTGTGTGGTGGGAGGCTGGTGCCTGGTGCTGGGCAGGGACTGGGGGCTGCCACCTTTCCCATCTCCTCAGCCTGGGTGGGTGGCAAGGAAGGGATGGCACCACTGCAGCTGCTGCATCACTAGGAGGAACATCTTTAAATACTTTAAGAACATTAAGGATTTAAGTAATTAAATATAATTACGTAATTTGTATTAAGGAAATACAGATTTTTTTTAAAAAGCATATATCAAAGGAATCCTTTATATTTCAACTTACATTGGTTTGATAATTGCTACAACATAATCTTTAACACTAATGAACCTTTATCTTACCCTAAGAGAGAAGCAATGTTGTGTGCCTGTGGCTCCAGGGACAGGTGTTTCCACTGTAAAAATCTCTGTAGAAGATCGTCTGTATCCCCTGCTGTCGATATTTTATCCCCCTCTGCCCACAGCTCCAGGGAGGACAGCACAATGGTGACATTAAGGGGATTAAACATCTGGAAGTAGAAGAGAGGAAACCTCTGCTCTCACACCTTCCCTTCATGCAGAGGGATTCTGCACACAGTAAACACATGGGAAAAGCAAATTGCTGCTGTCAGTGCCTCAAAGACATCTGCAGCCATACAGAATGAACACCCTAAAGAATAAAGGGATACAGCAAGAGGCCTGAGCTAAAGTCCAGTAACTTCATAAGAAGTGTTGTAGATTTTGGGAATAACTTCTCATTACACAAGTGAACCATAAGATCACCAGTGGAGTAAAGAACAGGACTGGAAGTTGGTTACAAGCACCTGAGAGTTAAGCAGGTTAATGGGACCAGTGAGATCAGGGAGGGAAGCAACCCAGGAGTCCTCAAAATGCAGGGGGGTCTGGCTGCCCTGAGGCACATTGCCTGTTTGTCTGTACATCTGCACAAGACGTGGCCATCACACAGGGAAAGATGTTCTTTTGTGGCACACTGACATGTCTGAGGAAAAGCCTTCTCAGGAAACATGGAATTTTTTACATAACATCCTCCTAAACTTAAATGCACCTAGAAGAGAGGTGTCCACTGCTAACATCAACATCCCCCTTGTCCCCCATCCACTGTAGTACAAACCAGACTTAAAAACTCACATTGTTGATTAAATTGAAGGCCTGGATTACTTTCTGTGTCGCAGCATTTGGGTCTGATCCCATATAGTTGTACTGAAAAACAACCCAAGAAGACACAGGGGTGGACAAGCTGCTTACCAGGGTGAAGCATGACAATGTTGGAACACTGAAATGATTGAGACATGAGCTACAAATTCATGTTCCTTTTTTCCTACAAAATCCACGGAATGCGTAACTTCTCAAAGCAGAAAACAAATCCATGTAAAAGCTGGGAAATGTTACCATTTCCATGCTCACAGAAGTCAGGCAAAGACAAGGAAAAAGTGGCTAGCATGGACTTACCAAAGCCTTGTCCAAAACCACGTAGACCATGAGGTATTTGGGAGATTGTGCAGCGGCCGAGAGGGGCTAAAAGAGAAAATGGGCTTCAAAGTAGATTCTGCATTCTCTAGTCACCTCACTGTTGCTGCTGGCTGTGCTTCTCAAGTGTCCCTTCCAAGTTTGTGTCCCAGTGTCTGGCCAAAGCAGAACCAGACCCCTGTCACAGGACAGGGACAGCAGCAGCTCTGACAAACAGGCACCGCTCACCTCATCCTCCCCGTGGGCCTTGTCCAACATCTCCCCTCCTTTCTGGGGGCTGTGGGCTGGGAGGGCCTCTGCCCTCTGCTCCTCACTCATTCGATACAACATGTGCTGGAAGGCAGGGGAGTAGCCCAGGGGCTGGATCTCGTAGCTCACATTCTCAAACTGCAGCAAACCCCTGCCAAGGCAGCACTGGCCGCTTGCTCCGGGCACTGCAGAGCTGCCCCAGCAGCAGCTGCTGCAGGCCAGGCTGCCAGGGCACCCCTGGCCCCCGTGGCAAAGGCCAGGCAAGTGGCCACAGGGAGGGCAGCACAAGGCCAGGGCTGGAACTTTACCTGAGCCCCGAGCAGGTGCTGAGGGTCACAGCCGAGCCAGGGAAGCCATCGATGTACCCCCAGTAGTGACAGCCTCCCTAGGACGTGACAGAGCACAGGGAATCCCTTCCATGGCTGGGATGACAATCCCCTACCCAGCTGGACCAGCTGCCTTGGGCAGAGACACTGAAAGCACAGACAGCCCAAAGCAAGGCCAGGTTACCTCAACGTGGGCAGAATCAGCCTGCAAAGACCCCTGCTCGCTGGACACGTAAGTCTGGAAACCATCAGATAAAAAGGCACTGCAAGAGAGAGGTGCAAAGTGAGGTGCTGTAAGCACCATTACCATCATCCATCACCCAGAGCTTCTCGAGCTTCTTGCTGGTCCTGCAGCCACGAGGAAGCAGGGCAGCTGCTGTCAGTGAGGGCAATGTCAGGGTCAACTCACTGCTCCTGCAGGTGGATGGTGTATGGCCTCCCCTCAATCCTCAGCATGTAGGACACTGCATCCTTGTGCACACAGAAAAGCAGAGAGGGGGAGAATTGGGAACAGGGAGTTGGAAATAGCACGATCCAAGCGAGGCCGGCTGTGAACAGCAAAGGGGGAGCACCAGGGTTCTAGCAGCTTGCTGTGGTGACATTGTTACAGCTGCTGCCACATCTGCACTCCCCCAGCCCCCTTCTGCAGCTGAAGACCTCACTTTGCCCTCCCCGCTCCCAGCCCCCCCGGCACCCCTGGCACCATGCCTGCTTCAGCCTCGCCCCTCCTCTGGTGCTGGCCCCCAGCCGCTGTGGGACTGTGATCTGGGACCAAAGCTGGCCAGGCACAGGGGACAGAGCCCCCCATGGCTGAGCCCAGGCCCGGTGGGTGGGAGGCACACGGGGGCCCTGCCCAGCCTCGTGCAGCAGCTGCAGAAGCAGCAGGAGCAGCAGCGCTGGCATAGCACACAGGGACCCCGGGCAGGCCAGTAACGGCCCCATGGCCACCAGTAACTGCCCCACACGAACTGCCCCAGCAGCAACAGCCCCTCCCTCCCCAAAAGCAGAGGCCGAGGCAGACTTGTACAAAACTGGCATCTTTATTGCTCCTTGGCTCTGTACAAAGGGATCAGGAACAGCCCTTTGGCCAGAAAGCAGCGTGGGGCCAGCCTGGAGGTGAACACAGCCCCGTCCGGGGACAGGTATCTGTTCTCTTGACGAAAGAAAGTCAGTAGTCATCTTCAGCATTCAACATCAGAAACTGGAGCTATTTCCTGTCCATGGGATCGCTTCTGAAAGCACACAGCCCTGCCTTCCGCAACTGCGGCTGTTCCAGCGCGCGGGCTCGGAGTACAAAAACTCTTTGTCTAGTAAAGGCACCGATTTTAGCACAGTTTAGTTCACACACACAGTTAAGTGCATCTCTCTGGATGACTTCATTCCTTGGATCCCCTCCTCTTTCCCCACCCTCTGAGCAGGGCTGGAGATGGGCTGCATCCAGCTGCAGAGCTCATTGTGACAGACAGACAGACAGACAGACAGACAGCCCACTCAGGCAGAGCGGGACACAGCAACACAATTAAGAAATAATCTTGGAACAAAAAGCAGACCCCCCACCAGTACAGTTGGTGAAATTCTAGGTGACATTTTACAGATTTTAATAGTGTTATAAATCTTAGTCTAAAGTTTATGGGAAACCACAGGAGTTCAAGTATTTTATTACTGCACACACTATATATATACTTATGTATGTATATACAGAGGAAAAGATTATTTTTTGGCAATATTAGGGGGATTTTACAGATTGAGCTGTGCTTGTGGTGAGCACAGAGTGAAACAGCCCAGCACACTCTTCAGCACTTGTCTCACTTTTAGCAAATTTGTGCAATAGAACCTCACTTTTAGCAAGTTGTGCAATAGATTTCTATTTCTGACCACAACATCCAGCTTCTACCCACAGCACCATGGGATCAGGATCTCCAGCTCCCTCTCTCAGCACGGTGGATGCTGAGCACCTCTGCTCAGGAGGAGTTTAGCCCATGGTGCAGGAGCAGAGGGCAGTCTAGTCTGACACAGCAGCCCAGACACATCCCGACTGGCACTACCAGGGTTTGGATATTAAAAGAGGGGGTGCATCAGTCACCAGGTTCCCATTTAAAGTGCTCAGAGAACCTCTGGTGGCCCAGGCAGAGACACTTCCTGCTTCCCAGTGTTCTGCAGGGATTGCTGCCGTCTTTAGACCCAAATTAAAACCTAACAGAACCCCGTCTTTTAAAACCAGAACACGGCTGTCTTCTCGTACCTTTATCATCACTGCCATGTATTAGTGGGAATTAGAACAGGAGTCTCATTTTGCCACTCTCTAATTAAAAAGCATTAAACTCAGTGCTCCTATAGCACAGCTGAGTGTCAGTCAGCATGGAGTTAAGAATTTAAGTGCATTATTATGCATCTATAAACATATATACATGCATAAACATGTTTAAAATAGACCTCTCTTCCTCAAATAGTCCTCTGAGACCTCATTCCATTTATGCATTTAAGATGTCCATGGGAAACACTTCCCAGTCCATGCAGAGTAACTAAATTAACTGACCAGATCTCCTTGCTTTGCAAACAGGTTACTCCAATTCCATACTGCACAGTCAGAGAGACAACAACAAGTCAGACAATTTCCTTACCAGGGCTCGTGGCAGAAATGGGGAACCCAAACCCAGGTGCTGGATTGCAGGATTATTTCCCTGCAGGCTGCTGCACTCCTGCTGCTGGCCTGGCTGCAGTGGCAAAGCTTGGACAGAGCGAGGGACAGGCTGGCTGGGTGTTTCAGTCCCTGGAGCTTTGGTCGAGGTATTTATTGAGTGTAAAGTTCTACATTCCTGGTTTGGATCGCTGTTTGCCCTGTCCCAGGCTGCAGCAGGGAGGCTGCCGGCACTGCCGTGGGATGCCAGAAGGGGAACTGCAATTTCAGCTGTCACAGCCAGCAGGTCAGCTCACACCGAGGCCCCAAGGAAGCCCAAAGCTATTTGGGAGGCAGAGGTGCCGGTCGGGAAGGGAAGTACTGTCCCTGAGGTAAACATTTCTGCTGTGGTGCCGGCGGTCCCTGAGGTACGAGCTTCTGCTGCGGGGGCGGGGGCCTGCCAGGGGACAGAGGAGGTGGGGTCAGTCCTGCGGTGCCCAGCGCCCTCTGACCACTGCCAGCTCCCCTGCCATCATCCCACTGCTCCCACGCCAAACTCCTCCTCAACATGCCGTGCTCAGACTGTGCCTTCCTGCAGTGCCCAGCACCCTCCCACTGCCAGCTCTCCTGCCATCACCCCACTGCTCCCACACCAAACTCATCCTCAACGTGCCGTGCTCAGACCGTGCCTTCAATGGCCTGAAATCCTCTGGGAACCCCCACTTGTCAAAACTCACCTTTTCTCCCAAAATTCTGCAAAGCCCCATGGCCCAAGAGCCAACATGAGCTCCATTAGGATGCTCTGGCACTTCCTGGGGCTGTGTGTCACAGCACAGCATTGCATCTTACAAGCACAACCAAAAAGCAAGATAAAAATAAAGGGAAACTTTCTGTTCAAAAGTTAAGAGAAAGGATTTTGCACTTGGCCATAACATTCACAAACCAGCACAATGACAGATTTTTGAGTAATTTGCTTTCACAGTGACTATTTTAACCTGCTGGGCTGATCTGCACCCCCAGCAGTGCCCTGAGCCTCGTTCATCAGCACAGCGACAGCGAGGGATGAACGTGCTGCCTTTCAGGGTGAAGGAGAAACTTCTCCCAGTGAAAAGTCAGCCCTGCTTGCACACAATGTGTGATGGAACACCCCAGGGCTCCCAAGAGTGAAGGCCAGGACAAGAAATCCCATCAGTGCGGCTGCCAATGGGCATTTGCAGTAACTGCACTGACCTGCTGGGCACCCTCTGCGGCTGCTGCACCGGGTACTGCGGCGGGGAGTAGTAGGGCTGGTGGAAAGCCTGCTGAGAGTGCTGGTTAACTGGGTAAGCTGGGACAGGAAAGGTATTTGGATGCATATCCTACAAAGAAAATATAAAGAAAATGTTCACAAATTGCACATAGGGAATCAAAATATTTGTGTCACTAAGTGACACAAAAACTAAGTGACATTCAAGACCACTTGCAAACCAGCCTGGCAATGTCAGAGCTGCTCTTTCCTCTGAGAAACTGAGTAAGAAGAAGCAACAGCAGTCTAGGAACTGCTGGACTTTGAAAAACACAGAAAGGCTGATCACAACTTGGCTTGCTCTGGGAGTGTGCTCTGGCTGGTTTTGGCTTTCAGAGGACAACTGCTCTGACAAGGAGAGGGGCTCTGATGTGGGGTGGGCATTCTGTCATGAGGAAAAGGGAGCAGCAGAACAGGCAAACGAAGCACAGCCTGGGACAACACTTAAACTGAGAAACTGAGGAGCCCCCCACACAACCCTTAGGAAACAAATGTTCTCTCTGCTTTTTATCAGGGAGAAACAATTTTCAGAAATGAAGAAGTAACTTTAAAGCTTTTATTAGGGCAAGAATTATGGTAACTTCCTTCATGTCTTTACTTGAGAGTAACAAATAGAGTAGGGGCAAGGAGATGATTCGTACCATGGGTACAGCTCTTGGAGCATATGGCATGCCACGGGAGAAGCCTCTCTGCTGGCAGGCCCTGGGTTCAGCGTCTGGCCGAGGAGGAGGAGACTGAAGTGACCTGAAATCCGATGGATATGGACAGTGTGAGCACATAAACCAGACACTGTGAACCTGACAGCTGGATTGACACTACCTTAGCATGTGTCAAGTGTGAGAAAGATAAGATGTACCACAAATTTAATAAAAAACAACACTTTTTCTGTTCAAGACTCTGGCAGCTTCCCTTTGCCCCTTTATAAAAAGATGGGACCCAAAAACAAACTCCCATCACCAATGCACAAGAACAAACATAACAATAAAGAGAAAACTCTCTGCTCTCTTGATTTGGGGTGAATTTATCTTTTCTGTCATTGCCACTGGATGCAGAGGCCTTCACCTGACATCCTGGGACTGGGAAATGCCTCCACACTTTGGCACTGGCTGGTGTAAATAAACATCCATGAAGGGCAGAAGAAAAGGCAGAAAGGAGGAGGCACTCACGAGTGGCAGCGGGACATCAGCCTCCTGAAGCATCGCTTCAGCCTGTCCCTCTTAGCAAAGGCCAGAGCAGCAGCCACGAGCAGTGGGAGCACCAGGAAGAAGAACACCAGCAGCCCATTGCGCAGCGACGTGTCTTTGTCTGGGGGGCAAAACCACGGAGGAGAAACAAGCCTTAGGTGGTGTTACCACCACCAGATTCACAACAGCAGGGGAACTGCATTTTGTAGTTTCCTACCTAATTTGGTAGGAATGGTTCTATAACTGCTCTCCATTTTTTATAGAAAAAACCCAAAAGAGTCCAGTAAGATATATGCCCAAACAGATCCTGTTTATCTTTTAGAGCTGATACCCTGGGCTGTAATAGCACATTAGGAGATCAATCCTCGTTTTTCATGACATATGAGCATTACTTCATTACTAAAGATCTCACAAGAGAGGGAAACAGCTGCTGCCTTTTGGTCTGATGTTAAATCTACCTCTTCTCCAGACACTGTTTGCTGTAGATGAAGAACGTGGGTTCTTAATCTTGACACTTTTATATGCAGCAATTTCTCCCCTGCAGGCTGTACTAAAACAGTCTTTCCCTTTCTCTGTCTGATGATTTGAGGGATCTGCCTGAGCTCCAGTGTGCTTCTCCAGCCTGTTATTGCACCACAGTGCCTAGCTTTCCCAAACCCACACCAGCTTATGAAAAACAGTCTTCAAGATCATTCTTGCAGCCCACAGAAGTTACACCAATCCCATCTTTATACACTCCACATGGACACAGCACAAGTTTTCTCCAAATTAGAGCTTGGCTCTGGCTTCCTAGTTCACCTTCAAACCCTCAGTGAGCAAAGCAAGCTTCCCAGCTCTGTCAGCTTGCCTTTTCTTGTGCAGGAATCATGCTTCACTGGGGCTTCCCTTCCCAGCCCAGGTACAGGGAAGTCCAAGAGGATTTTTGTTCCAAGGTGGCAGAAATCACCTGAACTCAACTGGTCCAGATCCTTACAGATCCCTACCCCAGCATCCCAAGAGATAAGTGCAACACCTTGAGCAGAAAACCTCTGCCAGAATTCATTGCCAGAGAAACCCAGTGCAGAGCCATCCACCAAAGTTCACCAGCACATGGGCTCCTCTGGAGCACCCAGCCCCAGCCCCCACAGCCACTTGCCATTGTATGGAGGGCCACTGTCCACGCTGCCCCCGTAGCCTTTGGAGTCACAGAAAGGGGGGGCCCAGCCTGCTTCACAGTGGCAGTTCCTGTTGTTGTTGCACACCTGTATGCCAAAACACAAATACTCAGTAACTTCCATCCCAATGCAATTCAATCTGTGTGCAGCAGCCACAGCCTGTTCTGTCCCTCATACTGCTCAGCCTGGAGAATTTTACCCAGTAACTCCCTACCCAGTTCCAAACAGTCCTTGGCCAGGCATCCCAAGATTTCACATGACTGAGCACACACAGCACTGCTCAGGAAGAGCTTCCAAGGATTAGCTATCCCAACAGCTTACACACCATGGCTTTTGCTTGTTTTTTTCTTTGTGAGATGCAGAGTCAAATTTCATTAGCAATACTGGAATGGGGAATTCTTGCCTGGCAGAGAGTTTTGTCAAAGATTTTTTTTACATTGCTACAGGTTCTCTTGCCCAGAGGCATTTTATAGTTTTACAGTTTGACAAAACAGAAAAATAAAGTTACTAATGACCATTTTAAAACTTGCTGCCTCCCTTCCCTGCTTACCCCATGCCCATGGCACTGCTTCTCCACATCACAGTCATAGTTCAGGACAGAGGCACTCACACACTGGAAGTGCCTGCAGATCTGGGGGACAGAGATGCACACAGATGAGGGATGATGGCATTTCAGTGCTCCCTTGCCTGCCCAGATCCCTGCTCCTAGCTCCAGGCTCCACAGCCACACTGTGCTTGCTGCCACAAAGCCTCACACACTCTCACTGACAATTCCAAGCTCTGCAGAAACTCTGTTCCACAAAAGGCCTCTCAGCATGGGGCTGAGCTGGCACTGGAGCCTTTTGTCTCCAGTCTGAATGTAAAGGAACAGCAATTAAATTGTGTCCAGTAAGGACATGTGGAATGCACATTCCTCTGCTAGGGCTAAGCTTCTGCACTCTTTAGTTTAGTTGGATTTTAATTGAAAGCTGTCTTCAAGGCATTTGTGTGTGCCTGGCTCTTCCTGCTCATTGACAGAGCAAAGATTTGTCTCTCATCAAACTCAGTTTCTTTCGCTTCACCTACAAATGAAAGGCTCATTAAATGTCTGATGCACACGCAGTGCAGTACTGGGCAGTGAGGGGATCAGTGGACTCATTTAGTTTTACATTAACTACAGGCATCAAAAAGTAATGGTCATAACTATTCATGACACAATGCAGATGAAAATTTTATTCCCATGAATACCCCAAATTATTACACTAGGATATAATTTTTCAATGTTTAATTACCTTTCCATTACCACACTTGGTACCTTCATTCACCATTCCTGGGTCGGGGACATCAGAGCCCAGCTGGAAATCCACCCCCCAGCATGTGGTGCCTCTGATGGGAGTTTGGATAATAGCAGGCTTGATTCCAAACACAGGCATGGCTTTCACATTTTCACATTGCAGCTTCCCACACATGGCATTCCTACAACAGCAACACAGGAACACTGTAGTGACACTTGAATTTATTCTGAGAATGGGACTACCATGTGTTTGATACGATCTTCCCTTTCTACTGGAAGATGCTACTGGAAAACAAAATTGAGGCAACTTAACAAATAAAACTGAACTGGGCTTCATTCCAGTGCTGCAAGAATAGTTTATTCCTTCTTTCTGTATGCTGCTGGAATCTCTACATTAAGGAAAACATGATGATTTGCTTCTCATCTTCCCTTATGTGAACACTTAGGATAAGCACAGGAGATGTGGAACATGCTCTCCTCACCACAGCCCTGCATCCCTCCCCTGCACACCCACTACAACATCCCAAACTGACACTGCAGCACCCAAATACAGATGCCCAGCCACGCATTTCAGAGCTTCCCCATGCCCTGGGCTCAACTCACCAGCTGGAACATTTCTTGTAGTCATGGCCATGGAAACCACAGTTGCCAAATCTGTCCCCCTTGGAATTCACTTCAGCAAAGCAAATGTTGGGGGCTGCTTTGGCTTCTGCAAACAACAGCCCATCCCCAGAGAGAGGAGCCACGTTACCCAAGCACAGAAACATCTCACACAGGATCTCCTGTACCCAGAGCAACTACCCTGCTACACCAAGTATTTGCCATGCAGCAGCGAGCTTAGGAACTTGATAAAAACATTGAAGAGGTTACAACAACAGAATTGCAAGGTTCCAGGTTTAAAAATGGAGAAAAACAGATATTTAATGTGAGTCAATTCTAGAATTTGATATTTCTTTACAGCCCTATAGAACAGAAACTCCACTGTACCAGAAATTACAAATGCAACAAAATTATTACTTGGATCCCCAGCACAGAACTAACACAGGAAGAATGCACAACCATCAGCAGGAAGAATGCTAAGCCATTACCACCACTGCTCCAAATCCTCTGCCAAAGCCAGCTGCTCTTTGTTACAGAAAAGCAAATAAATACATTTCAAATAAACTTAGTGTATTCTTTAGTTCCATCTCTTAGAAAGACTGTAACACCGTGCTGTTCCTTACTGGAGCCAAAGATGTCCTGGCACTGTGCATCGTAGTACTGGCACACGCCGTTGTAGCAGTAGGCGTCCTGCCCGTGGCAGGGGTGCCCGTTCTGCACCGTGAAGTCCGGCTGGCAGAACTGAGAGGAGCCGTTGCAGTACTCCGGGAGGTCACACTCGTTGGAACTTGCCCGACACTCGGTGCCTCCAGGAAGGAGCTGAGGAGAGAGGGGATGGAAACCTGCATCAGGAACCAGGAATCTGCCAGCAGAGACTGGCACTGCACCTGACCCATGACATGCCCCAAACAAGGGACCGATCTGGAGCCCTCGTGGGGCCGTGGACACGCAGGACCACTCCCTCTCACAGATGCATTGACTAAGCCAACGCTCTCCTTTTCTCAGCTTGCTAACAACACTGCAGTCTCCTACCTGGCAGTTTTTGCAGCAGTCACCGTAAGCGCATTCAGCGCCGGATCGGAGCCGGCAGGTTCCTGGCTCGCAGCATGGATCGCTTTCACACTCCTGGGGACACAAGGGCTGTGAATGTCACAAAATCTTCCCCTCTGTCACAAACAGTCCCCTCTGAGTCAGTGGCACGAGACTGCCCTGGCAGCACTGGGAAAACACAGCGCTACGAACCTTTGGTGAGCCACAGTCACACTCCTCCCCAGCATCCACCAGCTTGTTCCCGCAGTATGGGACGCTGTAGGTCTCATCGGGCTTCGGAACGTTGAGCAGGCAGCTCCCACCTTTGTTGAGTGTCAGCTTCTCAAAGTCTTCTGCACTGCAACTGCTGAAGTTCCTTGATCCCCTGCAATGGAGAAAACAAGCTGAGCTTTACCCTAAGCCAAGCCAGTGTCCCCTGTGTTTGCAGAACAAGGGGGATGTTGGCTGTCCCCATTACAAGCACAACAGGACTCTTTCCAAGGGGAATTTGAAGGTGAAAGCAATCCATAAAAACAAAGCACGTGGAAGGGGCATTTTGAGCCTTCTTGGCCTTCCCTTGGTCAGCTACTTACGATGCTCCAGAGCTCATAATGCAGCTGCTTGCCCCACAGTGACAGACTCGTTCGTCATCATGGTTCATCCCCAGGTTATGGCCGAGCTCGTGAGCCATGATGGATGCAAACATCTGGATACTGATCCTTCCAAACTGCACAGGAGTGACACAGAAGGCAGTCAGCAGAGAGCTTATATTGACAAAGTCAATGTTTACTGATGTGCCAAGGAGACCCTCCTGCCATTCTGTCTCTACATTGTCAGGATTCTCAGACCAACAGTGCTGGATTTCCAACCAAGTGCATGGAATTTGCTTAGCAGTAAGAGCTCTCAGAGAAGCCTCTCTGGGACACTACCCAACAACCTCCACTTTCCAGGGCAGCTGCAACGTTAACACAAAAACTAAAACGCTCCACTCCAGCCCAATTCTCCTGAAATGTACACATTCCAGCACTTCTGTCACTGGTCCAAAGAAACCAGGTTTCTGGGATTGCCAGTTATCTGAGACCAGCAGCTTGTTTCATTAAGGCTCTGCAGTTCCATTTAAAACACATTTAAAACTGGCACTTCTCAGGGAGGTGACAGCTGCAGGTCAGATTTGAGAACACCCATAGCTCCACATACTTTCCAGGCAGAGATGCTTAAAACGACACAGAAATCCTCTCTGAGAAATTCTTTTGCATGAATACTGCACACTGAACAGAGGAGAAGCTGAGCAGAAGACTAGAGTTGTGATCCAGATATTGTGGAATTGTCAGAAATTGTTGGGGACAATGTAGGAGCCCCACTAAGCCACTTCAGCTTTGTTATGAAAGACTCTGTGTTTCCAGGAAGACTTCCAGAGAGCAAACTCTGATCTCAATCACATTCAGAGATCACTGAAGAAATCTCACCACGTTAATGCCTCCTGCATGGCTCTTGGAGCACACTGTTCCCACATAGGCCATTCCAGCTGTGCCACCAAAACCCTTCTTCCTGCAGTCATGAAGAGAAAGGAAAGGCCATCATCTGTCTGTACAGACACACAGAGTCCATATCACACACCCCTCCTGCCTGTGGGGCACAAATCCTGCTGCTCAGCTTTCCAAGGCTAACACAGCTGCTGACTGCAAGCACAAACAGCACCAGTTAGGGTTCTGCTGTCTGCTCAAGATTCCTTTACTCTGTTCATTTAAGACAAGTGTTTACAGAGAAAGTCAGCCTCTTCCACACCATCCCTCTGCATGTAAAGAGCACAGGCACTACAGCTGGGCTTAGCAGGCAGGAACAGAATGAACTTCTTGGGATCAGAGGGAAGGAGCTGGTACTCACAGGACAAACTGGGCGCTGTCGTGTCTCCGCCGCAGAACGAGGTTCTTCTCTCTCCACTGTACGAAGTTGGCCAGCACATCACCAGCCCCCCCGTCTGTGCTGATGATGTTCTCGTGCTTCCAGATCTCCAGACCGACCAGCACGATGCGGATGTTCAGCATAACATACATCTGGGGAGAAAAAGGAGGAGAAATACTTATTAATAACTTCAGACAAAAACAAGTGGCCCGGTGTTATAGATCTTGTTGCAAATATCCATCTTTTCTGTGTGGGTTTGATTTCTTTTCACAGCTAGTACACAACTGGAACCACCAGAATGCATTTTGCCCATGATTTAGACCTTCATTAGCTACAGGAGGAAGGCTTAAATGCTACTCTGACTATATTGCAAGACAATACCAAAGAGAAATAGAAACATGTCTCAATTCTGACAAGTATCATGTGAAACAGTGGAGTTACAGAAATGATTTTTCTCTAACCTTTACACAGACACAAGAATTGCAACAATCTGTCCTGTCACTCACTGGACGCAGCACAGGTTGAAGAGTTTCCTAAACTAATTCTCAAGGTGGATAAGTGCAGATGAATTTAGAGGTGGAAAAGCTTCCATGGGGATGCATTCCCCAAAGTGGTAACAGGACAGACCCAAGGTAGACATTTACAAAAGGCAGCAGGGCTGCAGCACACAGCAGCCCTCCTACTCACACTGTCAAGGAAGTTTGCCAGCTGCACCATATGTTCTCTTACTTCTGTTTCACTCTTCCCAAAGTCTTCAAACTGCAAGACAAAGAAACTTAACCTCATGAAGAGAAGAGACAGAGTCAATAGTATAGAAATATAGTATAGAATAGAAAAAGGAACAGAACGTTTTTGCCTGGCTCCAAATCTCCAAGAAGATGCTAACCAAGACAGCAGCATCTTCACTGCTACTGCTCAGCAGTTCAGTATTCCAAAGACAACAGCAAAGGCAGTTTTTATCACGTGCTTTCCTTACACTGTGAGATTCCTTGCTAACAAAACCTCTCCCTGCCTGATGGCTCCTTTTCTGAGGATTGCATTGCATACATTTATCCACTTCTAGGGTAGCATATTTGCACAACTTGGGAAAACTGTCAAGTGTTTTTCAACAATCCATTTGGGAGTAATGAAGCCTGAGGGCTTTCCAGGCTCTCTCCTGAGGAGAAAGAAAAAGGAAAACCACACAGAACTCCCACCTTTTCTTTATCCACAACTATGAACAACTCCACATATCTTGTCTGGTGCAGGACCGCCCTCTTTCTCTAGGGAAAAAAAAAAAAAAATGTTTTAGACAACTTCAGATTTATTAATTCAAGTGTAAGCAAAGAAAACCCTCATGACATTGTCATATTTCAGTTGATACCACCATCAGCGGTTTGAGACACACCCAAAGCACAAAGTGCCAAACCCAAGCACTGTAATCCAATGCAATGACAGTCTCTGTGTTTCACAGTGAAACTCAGCTGCACAAAGACTTCCCTTGTTTCAAAAGCAAGGGACCTCTGCACAGGTTGCTTTGGAAAGTCAGCACTCTCTTTCAAAAAGGGGCAGAAAGATTCTACAAGCAAATGCCAGTGATCTTGAAATGAAACACAACATTTTCCATTCTCCTGCTTTCATTTCAGTCTTGTTCCTGTACAGACAGTCCTTGAAGGACAAAGGGGACTTCACACCAAACTGCTACTGTGATGGTGAGGAGGATGGGATAAACATGACAATATTCCCCTGGCTCTTGATGCAGTACTTTAAGAAGCCTCTCCATGAGGGTCATGTTCCTGCCCTTAAAAGTCCCCCAGAAAAGCCCAGGAATATTCCAGTCATCTGTCCCACCCTCACTGCTGAGTGCAGAAGCAGGAGGAGACTTTGGCTGCTTTGGGGGAGAAACTGAGTTGTCCAGTAACCCCCCAAATCAAAACCTTTAGGTATGTGCTAAGTCCCAGGAAATCTGATAAGCTGCTTCCATACTCTTAAATGAACTCACAAAACCCCTTATGTGGGACTGGGGAGGACTTACCCGCAGCAGCTGGGTCATACTGGGATGGAGATTTCCCTCTGCATGTTCCCCTTCCTGGCCTTCAGCAGTTACTCCACACATTGTGGGTTCTTTCTTCACATTATCCAGTCGATATAAAATGTGTTTAGAGCCAGAAGAGGGATGCATGGGCTCAATCCCATAGGTGACATTCCCCATTGTCACCAAACCCCTAAAATATGACAATGTGTGAGAAATCTGGCACTGAGCACAGAGGACAGGTACCCACAATTCTTACAGCTAAACACAGGAACAGTTATTCTTGGATAACCAAAGCCTGCCTATGCCTCAGCTCTTGTGAACCAGCACACTTCAGGCCTGGCAGGAGCCTTTCACACTGAGTAGAGCCTTACAAATGCAATAAATTAAACACCTCTGTAAGGCTCTGCAATGCCCCAGGAATTACATCACAAGTCTTAAGCAGAAATGCTTTAGTTCAAGTGCACTATTGTCACTCTGGTGCCTGGTGTGACCCTGCAAAAAATCAACGGTACAGAATATATGGCAATTAGCCCAAAGTAGAACACAGTTCCATCAAACTTGAGGTGTATAGGGTTTAGGGCAAATTCTGTGAAATTTGGAGACTAGTGTTCAACATTCCATTTCTGCAATAGGCACAGCTGTCATGACTATCTGTGCAAGTTAAAAAAATAAGCCAAATATGCATGGAAACCAACTTGCTGCACTCTGGTAACAAACTGCATTAATAATTTATTTGATGGTACTTCAAATATCTGTGAACTCCTCGAATAAAAGTTGCCACAGGACAACAGCACCAAGGCAGCTCAGTCACCCAGTGCCTCCCTGGCTTGCTGAGGCACAGTTAAAAACAGCAGGATTGGGTTTTGGGCTCAGCAGCCACAGTGGGACAGGCAGGACACAAAGGATGAGTTGTGCTACCTGAGCCCCGAACAAGCGCTGACAGCCACCACGGAATCCAGGGTCCCCACCACGAATCCCCGATAATGGCAGTGATCCTGGACAGGAAAACAAGGGTGCATTACACACACTGCAGGCATGCCTGCACTCCCAGGGCAATCTCTGATCTGCCACTGACCAGCAGAGATTACAACTCAAGAACACAAAATGCATTAAGTTAAATTTACCCCAGCTAGATTTCTTAACTTGACCTAGGCTATCCCTCTCCTGTTCTCCTGTCCTCCACCCTGCCTCAAATATTTTGAGGCCAGCCCCTCCCTCCAGATTTGGGCCAAAGTACTCTTCAGTTTTCTGGCAGAAAGTTCTGGCTTGTTTTCACCTCTCTGTAGCAGGAGGAGGGACAGCAGGTGCTGTCCAGTGCCAGAGTTTTCTGGCTGCACAGCCCAGCCCCCAGCAGCCCTGACAGATGGACACCTCCACTGTGTGCTCTGGACATACATATTTTGGAAACTAGACAAGGGGCAGCGTGGGGCAGCTACACTCCATTTTCTCTAGCTAGGGCATTTTTAGACATTCATTTGGGGGTCTATAATACAGATTCTGTCACCAGGTGCTCAGCAAGGAATGCAGAAAGCACAGAGGGCTTGTGCTGATCACTCAGGGTCAGCCTGACTTCTGTGACCTAATGCTAAAAAAGCATTTTTCCTCCATTACCCAATCCCTTTTAACTAGGAAGCAAATAGCCATTTGAATCAGGTGCTCTGTTTTCAAGAACAAGATCCTATGAATCATGTATGACTACTACTTCCCTTTCAAAGGAACAACACTGATCCCCAAGAGTGAGGCCATTAGAAAAGTTTTCTTGCATATTTTATCACACAACTGCTTTTAATTCTACATTTCCAAAGGCAACATGGCGGGAAGTCTGCTTGTACAGAACAAGGGCTGCAAGCATGCTTTCTGTGGAGTAACTCCAGCACTACACAGATCACATCCTGCTCAAAGGTCCTTCAGACTCGATCCCATCCATCCCTTCCAGCAGTTCCCACCTGCCAGTACTAACACAAGTTGTTAGTCCTAGCAGCCAGCCCTGCTGAATGGACTGGCACTTCACTGGCTCGGGGACACATCTGGAAGCTCACTGTGTGCAAAAGCAAAACCAAAGCTGCCTGTTCAGCCCTCAGAGCACCCAGGGCTGCCCCTGGGCTCCAGGCCTTGGAGGAAGGCAGGCAGAGGCCAGAAGTGACAGCAGCCCTGCAATGGGCTGTGCAATGGGCAGCAACACCCCAGTAATGAGATGCCAACAGCTGAGAGCAGCACTGCCTGGCAGAGGCTTTTAATGAGACAGCAACCATCACCACATCAGAAAATACAGGTCTTTCACAGTTTAGAGCTTCATCCAAAATTAAGGATTCTCTCCAGGAAGAGGACAGTGGGTGCTGAAGGTGGCCCAGCAGAAAATACAGCTATCCTTTTGTAATCCTGACTCTCTCATCCCACAGATGCTCTGTTCCAGCCACCTTCAGTGAGGATATGAACAGAAGGAAATCCTACCTGGACATCTGGATATTCCAATTGCAACTTTCCCTCCTTATCATAAGTATAAACGGTGAAATCTTTGGGCAGCAGTTCTCTGCAATGAAAGGGGAGAAGGAACACAAGAGGAATTTCATTAAACAACCATGACATTGGAGCAGAGCAGCAAGATGGCCCTAATCAAAAGTGTGACAAATAGGTAGATTGCAATTAAATAAGGAAACATTAAAAAGGAAAACCCTCCAAAATTAACAAAGAAGTTGTATATTTTCACAGCAAAATTTAAGACACCAGAATGGTAGCACTGCTAATGAAATAAAACAAACCACCATAAAACAAAACTCAGAGAGTAGAACAAGCAGCAAAACCCATTAAATTGTGCTAAAAGCCTGTTTCCAAGCAGGAAAAAAAATAAATTCTAGCCCTCAGTCTGCTGCATATGCCTTCTTCTCCCCAGTTTAAGGAGGAAGTACATTGGGAAAGTCTCCCACGACTGAGATTGCTGCACCATCCTAGTAATTCCATTGATGTGGTGCAGCTAAATTCCCACGTTTCTGAGGGTCAGGGCCTTGGCAAGTGGCAGCTGGGGCTCCCCAGGGGCTTGCACAGTTGTGTCTCTACCCCAGCAGCAGAGGCCTGGTAAATGACCATGTGATAGTGCTGCAAGTGGCCCTTACACTCCGGACAGACAGCTCCTAGGTCAGCTGGGAGGGCTCAGTGTTCACACCTTGGAGGGAAAGTCAGTCTCCTCATTTACTAGTGTCCTTGTGCTACTGAGACAGGAAAAAATACAAAACTAAAAGATCCAGACAAAAGTGAAAATATTTACTTGAAACAAAGTTCAGCTTGTTTATTTTTAGCTGTGAATAAAAAGAGTTGTAGGCTCCCTGTGTCTCCTTGGAGTAATCTGCAGCTTCCTGCTCTGAAGGGGGTTCCCTAGGGCTGCAGGAATCAAAAAACATCTCTTGTTGATGGCCAAGACACCAGGACTCAATCTCTTCCCATACAGAACCCCAGGATTCAGAACTCATGTGCCAGCTTGTCATCTGGACACACCAGTTTGAATGATTTAATAATTTCAAGAAATTCATCACTTACTTGTTCTTTTCTAGATGAATGGTGTATTCTTTTCCCTCAATCTCAACAGAATATGACACCTTGTCCTGGACACAAAGAAAGGTGCATTTCACTCACGTTAATGAATAAAACAGTCTTTGAAACCAACAAAGGTGGATGAGCCTGAAATTTATTTTATAATTGTCCCTGCCTCCAGAACCTAGGATCCCTTCCTGTGTGACTGGGGCAAAATCACATTAAAGAAATGGTTTCAAAATAGAACTGTGGTTTTCTTATTCTTTCTTCTTCTAAAATGTCCACAGAAGAGTTCCAAGTCAGAGCCAGAAAAGGACAACAGAGTTTTTTTACTGAACACGATGCAAGTTTTACACCCAGATCAAAAATCCACTGCAGCAACTCGTGACCGCTGGAGGGAGGAGGCACTTCTGTAGCTCAGCTGCCAGCAGTGCCAGAGGTGATGCTCTCTGCAAGGACAGACATTTCCCTGCTGCCAGGTGAATCCAGCAGCATCCCATGGGCATTTCAGGCCAGTTCTGGGTGCACTTTTTTGGAAGTAGACACTACCCTGAAGATATGTCTAGGACTGCCCAGTACCTGTATGGAGGAGCTGTTGGAAGCCTCTCGTCGTCCTCTTCCCAGTCTCTGTGGAGTTACAACTTGGTAGGAAGTGAGCTGGGAAATCTCCTGGAAACCTGGAAAGCAGAACAGAAACACTGCCTAAAGGAACAAAGCAATCAAGAGGATGAGGCACAAGGAAGAAAGCACGACTTCAGGAAAAGTCCACACACAGAAGGGCACAGAGTAAACCTCAGAGCAAGTCAGATATGGATTGCCTTGCAAGGGGTCAGAGAAAACACACAAACTGCAGAGAAGATACCAATTTTTCCAGAAAGTTTAAAATTGCCATTTTCACATTCCAAATACTGCCTTACAAGTACCCATCTCATACACCACCACTCTTCAACAGCAGGAATCAGCATTTAAAGCAGGTCAGCACAGCAAGGACTCACTCAAGGATAGCCAGTGTCAAACCAAGCATCCTGTGTTGCAAGGCTGCAGAACTGCCCCCTGCAACCTCTCTCAAAGAGCTCCAGCAGCTCCTGTGCTTCCCCATGGCACAGCACAGCCAAACTCCTGACCTGAGGCTGGTGCTACTATTCATTATGGTCTCAGAGAGCTCTCAAGGGCCTCATCAAAACAACTGAGGTGAGACAAATCCCTGCAACAAAGCAGCTGTCACAGACCCCTTTATTTATTACTTGCACATGCAACATCAGACAGATCTCCTGAACCAAACAAGTCCACAGTCCAAGCTCCCTTTAACAGTTTTTGCAAGCAACTGTTTTATATTAACTATGTAAACAACAATAAATTGTGCATGCAAATTACTTTTCCCATCAGTGGTGGCATCTGCTGGTGCCTGGCTCAGAGCTGCTCACCCAGGAAGCAGGAGGTTGGCCAGCCCAGATCACAGGCAGTATCCAGAGAAATACTTTTCCTGGCTCATGGCAAAGGAATCAATGAGCTCATCGGAGGAGTCTGAGCTTCCCAACAAAAGCAAGGCGAAAGGGAACAGTTATCCTCACTGTCTATCTCCAGAAATCATCACATCTGGGGCAGGTGAGTGTTTGGTGTCCAAGATCCTCCAAAATCTCTCAAGTGGGTCTGAGATGCTGCATCCAGTCAAAACCAGCCCCTCAGAGCACACCAAAACTCACACTCCATCTCCCAAGGCCTTTTGGCTTCTCTGAATTGCAGGACAGCACTGTGAGCGCAGAGCCTTCATGAGAGGCCTGCTCTGTCCTTTGGAAAATGGGCAGCAGCCCCAGGCAGGCTTTAAAAGCCAGGGGTTCCCCAAAAAGCACCAGGCTGCAGTGGCATTCAGGCTCCTGCAGATGCTTTTCCCCTCCTCTTCCCATCCCTGGCAAGCTGACACACATCATCATCACCTCGCCTCAGCACTCAAAAAGGCACGCCAAGGGAAAAGCAAGTCCCCTTCCCACACTCTTCCCACCACCATCCCCAAAGAACAAGCCATCATCACTTCCAGCTTCCCTCCCTCCACAGCACACACGTCCATGGCAGGAGGCCTCATGCACTGGGCTGTCCTGCCTGCCCACAGCATTTCTGTCACCTGAGCACAGGCACAGCCCCACGGCTCCTCAGGAAATCCCACAAGGCACACACTGCAGCAGAACCCGTGTTAATACAGCGTTTGTAGACAAAAGGTATTAAAAAAGCAGCAATGAGACTCCTGCAAACAGCCCCTTTACATTTACAGGCTACAGAACAGTGGCAATACCTCCCTGGCCTGAAAACAAGGGAGGGAAGGGCCGCTTCCTTCCCTGGAATGAGCCACCAAGATACTGCAGCAATCACTTCTCTCCATTTGTCATTTCCAACTGCCCCGAGTTCCTGCAGGTCACTGCTCTGCTCTTGTTCCTTCCCATGGCCATTCCTGCCCCTCGCAGATTGGGCCAGGCTCTGGAGGCTCTCGAGGCACAGGTTACACAAACAGCACGACACAGCCAAGCTCGGCACTGCTTGCAATAGGACACGTTTGCCCAAGAGCAGCTTGGAAGCAGAAAACAAGTGAGTGAATCATCACGTAAAGCAGAACTGGGAGGGATTTCTGGGAAGAGTACAACTCCAAGAGGGTCCTCTTAGAGCAACAGCACTAAAAGAGGGCAATTTTCAAGTTCCTGAATGCTCTGACAGTTCTCTCCCCAATTTCTGCCCTCCTTCCCATCCTTCCCCATCCCCAGTTTGGAAGTGATGGGGGTGGGAGTTGAGCAGGTATCTCCCTGGCACTGCCCCTCATTTCCCAAAGAACCTGTTTCCATGCCAAGTGCCCTGTGCATCATTTCACACATCACCAGCAACCCTCAAAAAGGGCACAGAGTAGTTCAACATAAATCCAACCCAAGGGACAAGTGCAGCCAAGCAGAAAGCAAACCCTGCTCCCACATTTTCCTCTTACAAAGGTCAGGTACAGTTTGGAATAAGATTTTCATTAAGTTACAGGGCTTGTAATCCTCAGGTGCTCTGTGTCACTGGCAGCTGTTGGAGCTGTACCACGTCACTACTGAGGACATGACATGCTGCTGACCCATTTCCGGGCTGAGATCTTGTTTCTGATCAGAAAAACACAACTGCATCCATGACCATATTTATCTCATCTCATTAGAGGCTGCCATTAATCACCAAGCATTGGAGACAACCAGGAAGATGTGAATCATCTTCCCCTCCCCACCCCAAATCCACCATAGGAATTCCATGCATGCTCCACGGCATGTGGGAGCTTGAAAACCACCAGAACACATCACAGCCATAACAGCTCTCCAGACACTGAGGGAAGCTCTGGGAGTGCTCAGGTGAGTGATCCAGGGGTGCCTGACAGGTAAAATCTGTATTCAGCAAAGCTCAAACTGCATCCCCTGTCTTGCTAGGCCTTGGCATGTCCATGGGTCACTGGCTCAGTTACAGAGTCACAGCACACAGCTACAGCCACCTACACTCACACTTCCCCTCAATTATCATCCTTCCTGAGCTGTGACTCCTTCCCAAGCCTAGCAACGGAAGGTCAAAGATACACTCTTCAATGGAAGAAAAACAAAATAAAAAGAGGAAAGTTCAGACCGTGGCCTGTTACACCACAAAACAAGATAATTTCATAAAAACAAGCTCATCAGCATGTGAGCAGGTCAGCAGCTAATACCAAACTCATTAGGTTAACTGTGGTGACCATCAATTGATCACAATGAATAGCTGAGGTCAGCTGCACGAGTTATCCCACACCTTGGCAGGGGATTGCTCACCAGAAGTGCCAGAAGCATCAGGCCCATCCAGCCCATCAGGGCCCCAGGCAGGACCAGCTCCACACGGAGCATCCCCAGTCTCCAAGGGATCAGCTCCTTGTGCTCCAAGCTGCACCTCCCAGAGGAGGGGAACCCTCCACTCCCTTCTCTCTAGCTCCAAATCTTTGCATTTCCAGTGTGCTGTCATGCTTGCCTCTCCTTTCCTGCAACCACAGAGCATCAATATGCAATATTCCCTTCCACCCCTGCCTGTTCATGTCAGGCTGTTCTGATGAACCACAAATGGACAAAACAGCCACAAACAAAAAAGCATCACTACAGGACACAAGAGGCCAGTGAGGCCTCACACATACCAAGGTACCTGTGCTGTGTGTGTTTATGGATCTCCACAGTTTGATCTCCTTCAAAACAGACAGCACATCTGATTCACTTGTCAGCCTATTCTGACACTCATTTCCTTTCCTGCAACATGCTCCTGCTCCCCATATTTCACCCTCTCATACTTGTACAATTATTTCCACCTCAGCAGAATGCTTTGCATCCTCCTTTCAAAGCCACTTATTTCTGACAGATACTTCCCTCGCGCTCAAATCACTGGGATTGCTATCCCAGTCTTCATGGAGCCTGAATCCCATCTGACTGGGAGGTACCAGCTGCCAGCTCCATCTGCATTCTTCATATCCTATTTTCAGAATCATACAGGAGTTTGCCAAGCAGTGTCTGAGGAGAAACTTCCATGACCTGGCTTACTTACACATGTCCTTCAAAACACCAGAACCACTGCTGGTGGATTTCTGCAGGCAATGACACGCCAGGAAAAGCATTTTTTGGTGCACTTGACTTTTGCACTAAGGCCATGGTTGAAGTAGGATTTACTCTTTAGACTACTGCGAGCAAAAACCTTCACTTTCACTATGCAAATATTATCCAAGTCGACTTAAAAGTGTTTAGTGGTTTATACAAAACACAAAGATAACAAGTCTTCTTCTAAATGTAGGAATGTTTTCTGTGGAGCCAGCAGCTCCAGCTCCTCCCCTACCTCAAAGACTAAAGAGTACCTCAGAGGTGCTTCACCTTCAAAACACCTGGAAACATCTGGCCAGATGTTCTTTTACAGGTACCACTCCTTGAGACTTCTCTATCCTCCCTCCCCTGCTCTCATTCTTCACACCTGCTGGGTCTCCTGCTGTGCCAGTGCCCTTTAGAAGGCAGGAAGAGATGACCAACTATCATGGCAAGAGAAGCAAATTCATCTCTATGTATTGCTCACCTGGATTATTTGTACAGCATTAAACCTGGCCAGAGCAGCTCATGAAGCTTCTTTTGGTATTTCACCAGGGATGTTGGATGCTGATCAGGTTACGGAGCTCTCCCACAGAAATATTTCCTAGAAAATTCTTACACCCCTTACTGAAATCCAGAGCTATGCTGCAAGTGTTTCCTGTCTAGACTCTCCCCATTCCTTCTGCCCTTCCTAAAGCCTAATTCATCTGCAAGACAACAGCTCCCCTTGTTCTACAAAAAGGACTGTTATGTGTGTCCACTGGTACTGTCATTACACCCTCTGCACCTCGGAACCTTCTCACAGGGAGAAGCAGGTAAAGCCAAGCTGATCTCTGCAGCAAGATGAACCCTCCTGTGGGTCACTGGCCCTGAAATCCCTCCCTTCCACCCATGACAGCACGGCCATGGACAGGGGCTCAGCACGCCCAGCCCACTCACTTCCTCCCCATCTTACCAGCTGGGAACTCTGTGAGCACTGTGGTCAGCTGTGCTCTCTCAGCCGAGTCTGTGGGAACCTTCTCTTTAGAGACATCACTGGCTTTACATCTGGCCACCAAAGGGAACTGTGAAAGGCACATTCTTACCTTTTTTTTTAATTTTAGCTTGAGAAATAATAATGATCAAGACATGCAGAAATGCTAAAGTCACGGTTCAAACTTCCTTTTTGTAAAAGCAATGCACTACAAGAGGCAGTGTTAGCCACACTGAAATGTCTTTCCTCTCTCTCCTTTGCACATGGAGGAAATAACCACAAACCCTCTCTTTGCTGAATGATTGTCCCAGATTTCTTGCAACATAGATGAGGCAGTATTGTGTTTTCTGTGATCTGAACAAAAGAATTATCTTAACCAAACACCCTACCTCCCTAGAAATTTAAACCCAAGCATTTAGACACTTACTGTGGCCAAGCCTGGCTGGAACACCCTGGTGTGCATATGACACCAAATATCAAGAAAGAGATGGAGTAGCACAAAACAGTCTCTGCCTGTGAATTTTTCTGAATTCATACAGTCAGATTTTGAAGGCTCCTATGGACACAAACAGGAGAGGAAAAGCCATACACGCAAATCCCTTAAGGCTACACATCACTGTGTGATTATGGTCATTCAGGAATTTTCAAGTAACAGTTTCTGGTAACACTCCACTCCTGCCTTACAGCCCTGTACGTGTCAGAAGCACTTACATTATAACCCAAAAGCTGGAGGTTTCTACCCTCTCCTTCAAGCTCATACCTCAGGCAAAGGAGGCTCATTATATTTCATGGCAGGTTTGGCATTAATAGCTGCGACAGAGAGTTCCAAAGGCAGAGAGGAATATTACCATCCACCATCAGGAATTGACAGCAGTGTTTCTTTCCCACAGGCAGGAACTAAAATCTTATTCCTCAAAACAACCACCTCACTGGAAGCACAAGCACCTGGTATCTCAGAGATGTATAACTTGCAGCTCCCAATATGCTGTGCCATCTCCACCACCAGCCACCTCTCAGAGCTTTCACTTCACACACCAGCAACAAAGCAGCAAGCAAGAGGAAGAGATTCCAGCCCAGAATCCCTCGGGGAGAGGCACACACCACATAAGCACTGTCCTCAGCATGAAGCACCGGTATCAAGTGGTATATTCCTCAGTTGGGAAGACCTGACTATAAAAAACATGCATTAATGACAAACACAAAAGTTTTACACAGTGCACATGTCCCGTCAGGAGGGGGAATCAATGACAGAGGAGGCATTTCTGCCTGTCGTGTATGTACAGCCTTGAATCAGCAACTCAGGAGCCCACAAACAGAACCATCTCAGTTCATAAACAGCCCTTAACGACAGCAGGGCACCAACTCCTTAAAAGCCCTGCGCTGCTTCCCTGGGGCCAGCAGCCTGCACGGTTCTGCCCCTTACCCGAGCTCCTCCGGCCAAGGCCACCTGCACCGGCCGGACAGCCCTGCATCTCCAGGGGCTTTGCCTCCTGCTCTGGAAGAGCCTGGCAGAGCTCTCGGTGAGCGCACGGCCACGGGAGGATGCTCGCGGGACACCTGCGGCCTCGGGCAGGTGTGAGGGGACCGAGGGCAGGGCCGGGAGCAGCTCCACATTTCCGTGCTCCAGACAAGGGAGCCGCTCTGTCCCGCCGGGCCCCGGAGCATCCCTGCCCGGAGCACTGCTGATGCCGGGCAGGGCACAGGGGGTGCTGCCCCTCCCTCAGCCTCCTGCTGCTACCGGCGACCCCCGGGACCCCGCGGGGCACACGGGCCGGCGGGAGGNGAGCTTCCTGCGGGGCAGCCGGCCCTGCGTCAAGTAGGAGAGTCCCCGGCCCCCCGAGCACCCGCCGGACCGAGCGCCCCGGGAGCGGGGCCGGCCCGGCGGGGAAGGCCGGCACTCCCTGAGCCCGCCGCATCTTCTCTCGCAGGTACACGGGCCACTACTTCATCACCACTCTGCTCTACTCCTTCTTCCTGGGCTGCTTCGGCGTGGATCGGTTCTGCCTGGGCCACACCGGCACCGCCGTGGGGAAGCTGCTGACGCTGGGGGGCCTGGGCATCTGGTGGTTCGTGGATCTGATCCTGCTGATCACCGGGGGGCTGATGCCCAGCGATGGCAGCAACTGGTGCACCGTGTACTGACAGGGGCAGCCGGCCCCAGCTGCAGCCCCTGGGAGCCTCTGCTCGCTCCAAGCACCAGCCCAGGCTCTACCCAGCACAACGTGGACTTTCAGAACTGTAACTCAGGGTGCACAGCAGTTACTCTTGGTTAAGGACTCTCTACCAACCTTGGACACAAAGTTGTTCAGGATGTATTTTGCTTGTTTAAAATAATCTGGCTTCCCACTGCAAATAGTGACAGCTTAAGAGCTTGCAAACACAGGGCATCAAACAAACATGAATAAAATCTGGAAGGTGACTCCATGTACTTTGAGGATTAGTAGAGTCTCAGCCACAGATGAGAATGAGGCCACAGGGTCACGGTCTAGCCCTGAGTTCCCCAGCCAGCCCATTAGACAAGTCCTGAGCCCTGGTTACCTTGGGGTCATAGGCCACCTGACATCTGGGAGCGGTCAGGGAGCTGGGAAAGGGCCAGAGGTGCCAAGAGGCAGCTCCTGTGTGTGTGCCAGACACCCCTCTGTCTCCAGCCCCAGAACAGGGCACCTACAGCACCCAAAGGGTGCAAGAACCTCACACCCGAAAGAGGAAGCCCCACAGCTGCAGGTTAAAAACTTAACAAGCTGAATAAAATGGGAAAAGGAAGCTGTGACAAGTCCCCAGCACAGCCAGACAAAAAATCTGTATATGCAAATGTCTGGTCACATTTGAGATAAAACAGCAAACACACACTCCCAGCTTGGCAGCTTCATCTGGGGCGTGGGGGGCAAATTTGTCCTGAAAATACAACAGGGCTGGAAAGTCTGTGGAGGGGAAAAAATTCTGCAGTGACCTAGAAAGGAAAAATATAATAATCCCGTGTGCAAAAGACCACTGGTCATTAACAGCTCCCGTGTCTCCAGCCCCCCACTGCCAGCTCACAGCAGGACCTTGGTCCAGCAGCTTCCCTCCTCCCCAAAGAACATCTGGCACCTTGGTCCAGAAAGAGCTGTGATGTCCCTGCCCTCACTGTACACTGTTACCCCAGCACAGAGCCCATCCCCTGTGCAGGGCAGCGGCATCGTGAGCAGGGGGAAGCACCCACCCCTGCTCCTGGGATCCCCCCAACTGCTGCACAATTCCCCAGCCTGGGGGGACAGCATTCAGTGCTCCTGGCACCCCTTACCCAAAATACACAGTGCAAATAGACAGCTTGGGAAAGTAATTAGGATTTCCTTCTTTATTTAAAAACACAGGGGAGAAAGGGCATTGCAGCATTTACAGGCGAGGCATGGGAGGCAGGTAGCCCCCACCCCGGGAGTCACGGAGAATTGCCTGTGAGGGCCCCAGCCCTAAGAGCACTTGAAATCCCCAGCCAGCACCTTCCAAACATCTGGAACCACATGAGAATAGCAAACCCCTGTCTCCCACCACCCTGGCCCTGCCAGGCACCCCGAACCTGCAGCACCCCCAGCAGAGCCCCACAGCACGCGCTTCAGGAGGGAGCAGCTCCGGGGGGACGCGTCCATCCCACGCCTGAGCCAGGAGTGAATGCAGAGCTGAGGGAAAACCAGTTTCTTTAAAATAACCACAAAGCTCCATCAAGATCTGGCTGCATCCACCCACACCTTTGGAACGGGAGGGAAATCCCTCTCTCCCAACAGCACGGAGGGCTCTGGAGCCCAGCTGAGCTCCACACTTGTCTGAACCTCACATTCAACCTCTATGCTGTGCTGGGATGCAGGAGGGTGGGAATGAGCAAGAGGAATGTTGCAATAGTGCTGGAGCCACTGGTAGTTTCTGCTCCTGGATAATTAACCTTAATTGTGCAACCAGCCTCTGCTTTACCTTCCCAGGCCTGAAGAAACTGTGCAATTATCAAGCACCAGGAATACTCGGGAGTCTGTGGTTCCAAAGCCTTGCACAAAGGAACCATCATCCCTCTGCATTCCCTGCTCTGCAAAACCAAGATCAGAACACTGTTACCTAATGCTGTGACTCTGATGGATGGGCTTACCAAACTACTAAAACATTCTTAAAACAGTGTTAGGAGCCAAACAGCAAGTCAGCCTAAAAAAATGAAAGTTTCAAACTCCAGTGCAAATAAAGAAAAAAGGAGCAGAAAAGGAACAGCAGGATCTAGGTAGCTACAATTAAATAATACTAACACTCACCTTGTACCATTTGCATTGATTCCCACTCATTTTCCTGGTCTCTGTGTTCTCCAGAGCCTCCACACAATCCCTTTGAGACCCCCTTCCCCCTGGACTTGGGGGACCCCATTCCTGCCTCCCCAGCTGCACGAAGCTCCACTGTGCCCATCCTGCAGCAGCCCTGCTGGCCCCACAGGGGACTGAAGCAGGAGGAACCACTGGGACTGCATTAAGGTCAGTCAGGCTAATCAAGGCTCAGGCTGAGGATGAGGCACAGCTGTCAAACAGCTGGAGGCCCCAAAAGGGCCAGGACAAACCAGATGTTCTGCTCCTGGGGAACACACTGGGCTGAGCCTGCAGAGCAGAGGATGTGTCATGGCCAGGGAAGTGAAAGGGAAGCTGAGTTCTCGCTCAGGGATTGCACACACTCGTGGGGTGAAGGTATCAGATGATCTCTCTGCTGAGGGAACACCTGGATTTTCCACATACTGTTTATCACACCTACAGGAGCTAATTTGGTTATGGAAATGACGATTCACATTGCTCTAGAAACTCCTGCTGGTTTCCATCTCGGGCAGGCAGTGGGTGAGTTGGCTGGACAAGTCTGCCCAGTTCCATCAGGTGCTCGGTATTCCTTGATTTTACTAAAAACCCTTCACCACCTGGCACAGCTCTCTGTGCCCAGGTGTGTGCAGTGCAAAACTGACACCGTACCTGAGGATGGACAGTGGGAACCACTGTGGCTCCGGCTACCTGCCCTGGCTCGTGCTCAGGAAGCACCAAAAGCCTTTGGAGGGGCTGAGCACCTGCCCAGGCTGGGGTTCAACAGGAACCACAGGTATAAAAAGACTTAATCAAAAGCCAGCAGATTGCTGATAAACCCTTGTGTGGGCAGAGGGAAGAGCTGCTCTCTGAGGGATTAAGTCGTTGTAAGGGGAAGGGGCAGTGAGTCCCCGAGTGGGCAGCTGCAGGCTGGTGTCTCCCAGCTCTGCCCTGGGGAATCTGAGCAGCCTCGAGGGGGAGAGAAACATTTTACAAACACAAGAAAGGCTACACTCCCCCTCCTCATGCCTCCAAGACCTTCTGCCACTTCATCCAGACCTGGTTTGTGGGGGAAATGATGCAATTGCAGAAGATGTCTCCTCATACAGGTCCCAAGCATCTCCTGCTCTGCACAGTGAGTCCCGGCAGTGCCCAGAAGCACCGTCCAAGACATGGAACCAACGGGGCCAAGTGTGGGCAGGAGCAGCCAGGGACCCCGCTCCCTGCAGAGCAGGGAAGGGGATGTGGCTCCAGGTGGATCCTGAACTTCAGGAAGGGCTGTGGTGGAGGGAAGGGACCACCTCACACACCCCGAAGCGCCCCCAGGGATCCCCGCAGCCAAGCAGGTGGAGCCGGCGGTGGCTCGGTGCCCGCTCAGACGTCGGAGGTCCGGATACTTTCATCGTCCAGGTCAAAGGCAAACGGCTTCCCCTTGAGCTGCTGCGGCTCGGAGCGGTGGCGCAGGCGTGTGCCACGCGTGGCCGAGTCCCTGAGCGGGGCTGGCAGCTCCCCCAGCGCCGGCCGCTGCCCCTCAGCCGCTGGCACCGGTGTCCAGGGCTGCCAGGAGCTGCTGGACGGTGCCTTGCACAGGGCTCTCCGCTCCTCTGCCGACGGCCGCGGCTGAGAGGGGCCCGAGGAGCCCCCGGGCCTGGCCATGGAGCTGGATCTCACAAAGGACATCTCCTGCAAGGACAGGGCAGAGCGAGGCTGCTCAGATAATCCACGAAATAAGTATCTTGTACGTTGGCACAGTCTCCATCGACACTAAACATGAAACTGAAAGTACATGACCTACCCTGGGGCGGGTTTTCAGGGCCTGCACTGCCCCTGTGATCGCCCGGATCCAGCTGTGCATGTCCTCGGGGCTGTCTGCCTGCAAACACAGCAGCCCCAGTGAGGCTCAGCTGTCCTGGCATTCCCAGGACTCAGCTCTGCCTTCTCCTGCTCTCACAATCATTACAAATAATCCCACGGGAGAAGTGAATCCCCCCGCAGTTCTCCCTCACACTCATGTGTTCCAGCCCCATCTGTTCATGTTCACTGGCAAAGCGCTGTGGGGAACAGCCCATTCCTGAGAGCTGAACTTTCTGCCCCAAAAATTATCCTGGCCTCAGCTGCTCACCTGGATGTAGAAGGTCCTGGAGCCCGTTATGATTTCAAAGAGGTTGTCTCGCATCAGGAGGTCACTAGAACAGTGAGAAAGGGACAGTCACACCCCAGCAGCTGTTGTGGACAGGAAAACCCCTGTGTTTATCCTCATCTCTGGAGTGTGCAGGGAGGAACCTTGGATCTCATTGGGATTTTGAGAAGAGCCCAGACCCCAGGGAGCTTCAGCCAGAAACCCACCAGCTCTACCATCAGCCAGCAAAACCCTGCCCTCCCCCACCATAACCCACTGCACTCCCAGCTCACTTGAAATATCAGCTTGCTATTCCTCATTAGGAATACACAGTCCAGAGATACATTAATACATTGTACTTTCACTTTAGCTGAAGAGGTTTGTTTTCTTCGGTTATTTTTCATTGCCAGTCTTTAGGTTACTTTGATTTTATCGGTGTTTGCTGCAGTAACTTGTTCCCGAGACACTGCAGCCCCCTGGGCTAGGTTAAGGCCAACACCTCGAGAGTCGCTTCCCACGGCTCCCCTGGCCTGAACTAGCCTGGGGCCACAGCAGGGAAACGCGGGTGAGAGCATTACCCAGACTTGACCAGGCACTCGTGGGTTTTGCAAACATCTTTCAAGAGAATCGAACGCAAAGGCTCCTTGTCCTGCAGAGGCGAGAGGAGACAGTGTGGGCCTGGCTGGCCCTGGGGCTGGCACGTGCCCACCCCTGGGTCCCTGTGCCAGCACAGCAGTGGTGCCAGAGCCCTGCTGGGGCCTCGGGGGAGCTGCTCACCTGCTCACACTTGTAGTAACTGATGGAAAACTCATCCAGAACAAAGTACCGCCGCTTCCAGCTCTTCCTCTGCAAAACAGAAAGAAATTGCTCAATGCTGGGCCCTGCCTCTCCCTGGAGCAGCCCAGGCTGTGGGGCAGCCCCAGCCCTGGCCAGCACTCACCACGTTGCCCTGTTTGACGCAGAAGCCGCTCTTGAGCACAGGTGGCCCGGCGGGCGGCCTGGCAGCCGAGGGGGGGATGTAGCTCTGCGAGCGCCGCAGCAGAGGATGCACGGCCACCTCGCTGCCCTCCCCGCCATCCTGCAGCAGAGACAGAGCCACCGTGAGCAGGGAGGCCACCCCTGCTGGAAGGGCCTGCAGGAAAAGCCACCTGACACAAGCCCCGAGTGAAGTGTGAGAGCCAAGGGCTCCTGGCAGTGCTGAGCACGGGCAGGGGAAAGAGCCGGAGCCCAGAGCTGGTCTCTCACTGTGTGCGGCTTTCTGGGCTGCTGCCCTGGTACTATTCACCCTTTTGGCAACCAGGTGTTAAAAACAAGAAATCAGAAGAGCTGCAGAGAAGCAATTTGAGAGCTGAAGAAAATCCCCTGCAGAAGGAGAGCGAATAGAGCCCATCTGCCTGGCTCATCATGGACAAAGAGGTGACTCGACTGCACCACTGAAGGTATGAGAGAACAAGAACCACCAAACACAAACTAGAAAGGAATGCTTTCCAATGGGAGAAAGCAATATACCATGGGAATAAATTGCTCAGAAAAGCCATAAAGTCTCTGGGTGTCATTTTCAGAGCTAAGTTCTCCCAAGGATACTTGGGTGTTTGGAGTTCAGGAAGTGAAGCTGTCCCTGCCCAGGTGCAGTGCTCAGTGCTGTGAGCACAAAGGAGCTGTGGTCAGAACCATGTGCTCAGCACCCACCCCTGCTTTCCCTCAGCACACCTCAAGGGCCAGACCCTGCCCTACCCTCCAGCATCATCCCAGCAGTGCCTTCCCTTCCCCCCAGAAATGCAGAGGATGGTTGAGATGAAACATCTGCACTCAGCTTCTTCCCCATCCCTCCAAGCCCTTCCCCGCTTGGCTGAGGTTTGAGCACTGCCATGGCAGTGGGATGGCCACTGCCAGCCTTATACAGCCCCGGTCTGGGTAAATCTGCCTGTCCAGCACCTTCCACAGCTGCTTGAGTGTTCCCAGAACACACAGACAGCTTTTCATCTGGCCTCAGAGTGCTGCCCAGCCCCTGCAGAGAGCAGAGAGGCACGGCTGCAGCACGGCCAGGACAGGGATGCCACCCACAGCCTGGGCTGTGCCACCTCTGCAGGCATCACACAGGAGGTGCCCAAAGCCAGGGGTGAGGACACTCCTGCAGCTGGGGTGCCACATGCCCAGGAGCTGGGGTGATGCTCCTGGCCAGTCTGGGATGCAGCCAGGGCATCCACTCCCCACTGCAGTCCTGAGCAGCAGCGGCTGGGACCCAGCCAGGAAACCACGGACACGCCCAGGAAGCTGCAGCAGGGGAATGGCCATTTCCCACGGGGGAAGCAGCAAGAGCACGGAAATATTCTGGCAGCTGATGCACCACCTCCAAAAAAACCCCTCTGCACCCCACAACCTCCCTACACCCCGACATCCTGCCGAGCCCTTGTGGCCAGGGAAGTGTTAAAAGCACCTGCCAGCAAAAACTGCTGCAATGATCAAATTCCCTACTCTATTTTTAGTGCTGCCACTGATAAGAGCTGCAGCGAGACCCAGAGCTGGACAAGTGCCCAAAGGTGGGAGACACTGATGGCCATGTGCACACCCAACCATGTGCCAGGGAAGGGGATTGGAGCCACGGCCAGCAGTGCCAGCCACCACCCCAGGGACAGTCCCCCTGTAGTGGGGGCACCCAACAAGATTCCTCTGCCCTGGGTACCTCAAGAGTGGATTTGCACCCAGGACACGTGGGTGGATGGCGATGGCCAGGAAGCCAAGAAGCTCCATGACCTCCTCCTCCTCACTCCCCCTCGTCTCATCACACTTCAGAGTGAGACAAAGCAGAGGTGTTCAGGGTGCTCAGAGCAGCCATCGATACCTGCAGGGCCAAGGGTTTGTAGGCACACTGTGTCCAGAAATGAAAGTGCAAACCAGCTCACCTGGTTGATAGAGATGGGTGTGTGCACCACTACTCCTGCAACGATCTCGGTTTTGTAGGCCACCTGGGGCTTCCTCTCCTGTGCCTGGGCCACCACAGAAGGCTTCGTGATTTCCGTGGCCGGTGGGACACTGCCACCCTTTGGTACCTGTGGGAGAAAGGAAGGGATGAGGGACACAGGATGCTGGGTGTCCCCAAACCTGCACTGGGCACCCCATCTCTGTCTATAGCAGCAACATCCCCTTAGAAACAACTCTGGCCAAGCAGCCCAGTTAGGGAGGGTGTGGAACCCCCTGGGAGGCAGGAGACACCCGGAGGAGAGATGAGAGGAGCTCAGTGATTAAGCATCCCTTCACAGGCACCTGTGATTTGCCTCTGCAACTCAGTGAGTTTGTGGGACGCTTGCTCCTTTAATTGTCCCTGCTCCAGTTACAGCCAGGCTTAATGAGGAGCTGGGTCTGGCTAACGAGGCTGATTGGCACGGGCACAGCCGTGACCCCAGCGCTGGCCGTGTCCCCCCGTGAGCGGCCCCAAACGCCTGCAGAGGCTGGGATGCAGCAACACGGCTCCCAGCAGGGTCATTCTCCCTTTCCCTTCCCAGTTCCTTCCTTCTGCCACCTGCCTCTGCACAGAAAGGGGACTTTCCAAGCTTCCCTTCCCAGCCCCACACTTCAGCCCCACTGCTGCTGTGCCCAGAGTGGGGCAGGGTGGCAGCATCACCCTGGTCCCGGTGGCCCCAGGAGTTCCAGCCAGCCCGGGACAGCTCCTCCCTGAAGGGCTGGACGAGCCGGTCCCAGCCGGGGCGCGGCCAGAGCCGGGAAGGGCTGGCCAAAACCAGGGCATGGAGATCACCACGGTTTCGTGCAGAAGCAGGAGATGGATCTCGTTCTGCTGCCACCCCAGCTGCCACCTCTGCCAGCCTGGCAGAATCCCCCCGCCCTGCAGGCTGCCCAGGAGGAAAGGGCTGCCAATACACCCAGACAGAGCCCAGGCGAGCTCTGGGTACAGCTCTGCCCAGCTCTGGAGGTGGAATCTGTGGCTAATATCAGCTGGAGCCAGCCAGAGAAGGCACCAGCCAGAGCAGCCTGGCAGCTGCAAAGGTTGTCACACTTCATGTGTTTGCAGAGAGAGAAAGAAAGTACCAGCTAGGTCTGGTCTTGCAGATGAGTTTCCCACAGAGACTACAACATGGCACTCCAGGGATTTTAAAGAAAAAACTCATGGATAGGCCCCAGTCAAACTGTTTACATTATTTTTCCTCACATCTAGTTTACATACCACAAAAAACACGCATCAGTGCACGACCCAGTGAAACTCTGCTCATGTGGCCCCACTGCTCAGAGCAGCTCGGCAGAAACCCCCAGCCCTTTCCCGGGACCCCCATCCAGGCAGAAACTGTCCTGGAGCTGCCAGCCCGAATCCCTGGTGCAGGGCTGGGAGCTGAGAGTGCCCCGGCTGCGGAGGGGCTCGGGGGGAGCTGGGACAGGTGTGGAGAGAGCGGGGACAGCCCTGGGGAGAGCGGGGACAGCCCTGGGGAGCCGGCACTGGGTCAGTGCCATCGGCTCTTGGCTCCCTGAGCACTCCAGTACCTGAGAGGAGGAGGCAGATGAGCCCCTCTGGACGCAGGCACAGCCCCAGTGCCTCATCACAGGAGCTGTGTGATGTTTTATTTACTCCAGGAAGAATAAAAATGGAATAAATAAGTTACTGAAGCACAATAAAGCCACCCTTTGACAGCCACAGTGAGGAGCTGGCTGGGCCAGATCCCTGCCAGCAGGGACAGCAGGAGGAGGAGGGCCTGGAGCAGGAGGGGATGTGGATGGCTCCAACAGGACCTTCCTGGGGCATGGCTGCTGTTCCCCAGCTGGGCTGGGAGGGCAAAGGAAGACACACAAGTAAACCCCAACCATAAAGATCCCTGGGGATGGTGGAAGAAACAATCGAGAAGAGCTTTAAGTAACCTACCGTGATCTTACTGGCCCTGTTCAGTGCCTCCACCCAGTCCTGCAGGTCCTTCTGGTCACTGGCTTGCAAGAAATAGCGCTGGGACAGAGCGTTGATAACTGCCAGAGAAGGGAAGGACAAGGAGAGCTGGCAGCAGCCAGAAGAACTCGTGGGACAGGCACCACACTGAGCTTCCTGGGCAGGTCCCCCCCAGAGCCCACCAGGATCCCACTCACTCACCAAAGCAGAATGGAGTTTTAGGCTTCTGTTTCGGGGTGGCAACGCTAACCTGTGACACAGCAAATCAGGGAAAAAATGGAGTTAACAGCACAGCCAGAGCTGGAAGTTTCCACCCATCCACAAGGGCTCTGCCACCCCAGACAGGACCTTGAGCAGGACCCCACAGATGTGAGGACAACCTGAGCCTCAGCACAGCTGTGCCAGCTGAAGGGAACTGGCCACACCAGCAGAGGGTCCCAGGGGAAATCAGCAAGGAGCCAGGACTTTCATCCCCTGCATCCCCTCAGGCCCTGGCTCAGCAGAGGACAGAAAGCTTTCAGAGGACCTCAAAACATCCATTCTTCTGGATTAACACAGCCACTCTCTTCAGCAATTAAGAGACTTGAGGGAAAATAGCAGTGGTTTTTCCCTGAAGAGTAGGAATCATTTATATAAGAATAATATTCCTTGAGGCTCCACAAACAGCATTCATGGAGTATTTATTCTGACAGTCCTCCTCCTTCAAAGACAGTCCATAATGCTTTAAATATGTTTTCTCAAGCAAACCTCCATTTTTCTGGTATATTTACTGTTGGTAGTTCCAGCCACTGACAGAACCCAACCCCACAGTTTGTGACCAAATGCTGTCCTGCAGCAATTTTCATTTAAACTAAAACCTATATAATTTGTGAGGCTCTTTCCAAAATGGGGAAGGCTCAGCCTCTCAGCATTGCTTCATCTGCGCTTAATTTATAAATCATGATTCAGCAGGAACAGAAAGATCTGTCCAATGCTATATCCAGCTCCAGGATAAAGCTGAGCTGTGCCTGCTGTGGCAGCCACCAGCCCCCCAGTCCCCCCCAGCAGCTGAGGGGCCACTGGCAGGAGGAGGATGGTGGCAGCTCCACTGGCACTCGCTGCCTGTGTGACACTTGGTGCTCACTGCACTTTTCCTGCCTTTCCATGGGGACTGGGTAACACCTTTAAGACACACAAGTGAGTTTCCAGGTGGTCTCATCCTTCAGGGCACTGCCCTCTGAGCTCCTGAAGCACTGCTCAGGCAATTGCCAGCTCTGTGCCCAGCTCACACCGATAGCACACTGCTGTTCCCACCCAGCCCTGGCCACCCCGTGTCCTTCCCCCCAGCAGAGCAGTTCCTCTTCCTCCTGCAACCCAGCCTTGCAGCCTGTCCCGCCCCAGCCCACGGGTGAGGATGGTCCCAGCACTGGGATCCTTGTGCTGTGGGGTCCCTCACTGCTTCCCACAGCCCCACTCAGCCTTCATCTCAGGGACACGGTCACGAGCTCAGGCAGGAGCAGGACCTGGCCTTGGGTGCTTCCAGAGCAAGCCATTGCCTCTCCTGGAATGGCACAAGGACAAGGGGAAAACAGGGAGCACTCACCTTCCCTCTGCCCCACCCCAACATTACCTTGGAGATGTAGGTCAGCTGCAGAGATCCGACAGCACCTGCTCCAATGGCCAGGTTCTGCAACACAGAACGAGCAGTGAGAGGTAAATGACAGGGAGAAGGTGGCAGGGACAATCCAGCCTGTTGTTTGTGCCCTGGGGGTCAGGCAGACACTGCCATCCTCAGCCACTTCCCTCTCCTGCACCAGGCTCAGCCCAGAGCCCTCAGCAGTGGGACCAGCCCTGCTCTGCTCCTCGGGACAGTCCTGAGAGGTCACAGAAGGGCTGGAGCCTGCTCATGGCCAGGCCCAGCCATGGGACACTGACACAGCAGGCAGCACCCAGGGAGACCCGGAGCAGGTGCCTGCTGCAGGGAGGCTGGGATGTGCCTACAGACTCACTGACAACTTTACAGACACACCTGGCACGTGTGCCTACCTGAGGATTGTCCATGTACCACAGCAGGTGGTTGGCCTGGGTGTCCAGGATGAAATACCTCCGCAGAAACTTGCCACAGGTCTCATTTTCTTCGATGTCCAGGAAGCCGCAGATCCGGTTCTGTCGATCCAGGTACGGCATGCCGGGCTCCTTCTGGCATCACCCTGCGGCGCGGGGCAGGCAGGGAGAGGTGGGCAGCTGCTCCCCAGGGAGCTGCTCCCGCATCTGTGGCCACCCAACCCATCCCAGACAGAAGTTCCAGGGTGCCAGCGCAGTCACTCGGCCAGAGCTGAGCTCTCCAGAGGGAGGTGGAAGGGACAACTCACCAACCCATCACTCCCAGGAGCCACCAAACCCCACGAGAGAGGACAACGTAGCCACAAAGGGTCTGACATGAGACACCAGATCCCTGAGAACTGTGGCACAAAACAATCCCAAAGCAGTGTGCTAGAGAGAGCCTGAGCACACTCCCAGGAAACAGGGAACAATCTGCAACTCCAGCAGAAAATCTGTGCAGCCAGGATGTCGAGTCAGCAGGGAAAACAATGACCCATCACGGCAGGGCCACACTGTGTCCCCAGCTCTGCCAGGGCACGGACCCTCCGCAGCACTGACCCCTCCCAGGGAGTCTCCTTGGAGGCCCCTTGGCTGCAGTGGGAATCCTGTCAGCACCTCCAGCCCGGGGTGGGCAGGACAGGTCCCCCTGCCCGGGCAGAGCAGGAGGGCAGCGATGAGAGCAGCCGTTACCCAAAGGATGTGAGTGAACCCGGTGTGGTTTGTCTGGCAGGAGAGTGGTGATCACACAGGTGCCAGAAGCAGAGCTACACAAATAAAAGAACTCATGCAAAAAAGGAGGAAATACTATTTTTGAGCTGCAGTGGAGTGGGGCCCGGGGAGGCGAGGGTTGTGCAAGAGCTGGGGTGCAGCTGCAGAGGTAGAGGAGGCAGAAAACAAATCAACCTGCTGTCAGGATCTCATTTTATCACCAGCATTGCAGGGACAGATATCGGGGCTTGGCTCATGGGGACCATGCTGCTGCAAGGGGAGAGGCTGTTTTAGACCAACAACAGTGCAAGGGTTTCTGTGGGCACTTCAGGTCTCACTGCTTTTTGTGGGGTTATTTTTATGGTGGGGAAGCACGTGGAAAGCCGATCCCCAGGTACCTTCAACCATACCAACACGTTCAGACCAAACCTCATAGACCCTTCTCTGCTGACAGCAAAGGTCTAGAGATTTCTGCTTAGGAGACAGATGAGGAAGAAGCAGAACGTGCCACAGGCAGCACAGAGACAAGACCCAAGCCCCATGGGACACCTCTTGGAAGTCTCCATGTCCCACCACCCTTCATTACCATGGGCTCATCTGGGAGAGCACAAACCAGCTCAGCCCTTCTGTGCACACTGACCTCAGGCTGCGCCTGGGGATGCACAAACCTCTGGGCAGAGGAGATTTGGATTGCCCCACACTCTGCACCAAGTCAGCCGGATTCCTGTCCCCTCACATCCCACTGCCCACACAAGACAAATGATCTCTCTTTGGAGCCACCAAGAACTGCACTTTCCCATAGGAAAATGATAAAAGTAGCATCTCCAGCTGTGCTAACATGTGGGGCACTGCTCAGGAAATCCAGGAGGGCCAGAAATTCTCAGCTTTCTAGTGAAGTGTATCTGAGACTTCCAGGACTCTTTCCTACCTCTGAAGCAACTGGCATGCCAGCTTTTTCAGTCACAATATCCCACAAAAAAAGGCACCCCTTACCTGACTCATGGCATGGCAAGCAATTGCGCTACAGAAGATTTACAGCAAAACCCCCTCGCCTGCCTGGGATAAAGGGAAGTGCTCCCCAGGGAGAGGCAGGAGGTGCAGGGCACTGTCCATGCAGCACCCGGTCCCCTCTGCAGCCACGGCTGGCTCAGAGGCCTCGTGTGCAGCCACACAGCCAGACTTTCCAGGAAGCACCTCAGGATGCCCCATCACAGCTGCCTGTGCCCTGCCACTGCCACAGGAGCAAGCCAGGAACGCTCTGCGGCAGAAAAACCCGAGGAAACGACAGCCCCGACATTTGGAGCATCACAGCTCTGCTTCCGGGAGCTTCTCCTCGGCACCTCCCTCCACAGCACCCATCGCACCTGTGGGCAGCCGCAGCATCCTCCTCCTCTCCCACACCTGTCCTGGTGCCGCCCGGGGTGCAGGAGGAGCCTCCCGCAGGGGGAGCGGGAGCTCCGTGCCCCGTTCCCCTCCTCACCTGAGCTCCCAGAGCTCCCGTGCGACGTCTGTCCCGACCCACAGATGGGGAGCAACTCGCTCCTGCTAATTTCAGATATTTGCCTTAATGACACTGTTAATCAACCTGTTGGGAAGAGGCTCGGTGCAGCCTTCGTCTGCCACAAAACAGCCGGAGAACACACGGAATAGCTGCAAACCCCTGATCCCCTCCAGACTCTCGCCTCGGAGCCCCCAGACTTGGGGTGAGGACGGTGCCGCAGAGTTTCCAGAGTTCCCACGGGGACCCCTCCGCTCCTGGCAGAGCCCCCTGGCCCCAACACTTCTCTGCAGGAGCCGTCGAGCAGAAGCCGCTCGCCCCGGGAGGGATGGACCCTGGCACGGATGATCCAGCTGCAGGAACCGGAATCTCCGCCAGGGACAGGGACACCGGCTCCGGGCCCCCTCCCCGGCGGCTCCCGGAGCGGGGCACGGGCGGCTCCAGCCGCTGCGGAGCCCGGGGAGCCGGAGGGAGGATGGGGACGGGGCAGCGAGGGCTTCGTGCCCGCCCCGCGGGCTCTCTCGAGAGCGAGCGCTGCTCGCAGGCGGCTCCGCGTGTCCCCCGAGC